CAGAAATGTAAGTATCTGGGCCCATGGATAACATCAGATGGAAGATGCATAACTGAGATAAGAAACATAATAGGACAGGCAAAAACTGCATTTTATAAAATGAAAAACATCTTGTGCAATATATCCTTGTCATTAAGAGTTAAAAAAAGAATTCTTACTTGCTAAATACATCCAGTTTTAACACATGGCTGTGAATCCTGGACAATCGGTAGGCAGGCCAAACAATTTCTGGAGGCCTCGGAGATGTGGTTTTACAGAAGAATGCTTAGAATACCTTGGACAGCCCAAAAGAGCAACCAAGAGGTTTTGAAAGAGGCTGGAGCCCGAAGACAACTTATCACAGACATTAAAAGGAGATAGTCATCATTTTTCGGCCATGTTATGAGAAGAGGGAAAATAGAACATGTTGTGACCACTGGAAAGATATGTGGAAGGAGAGATGGAGGAAGACAACGAGAGAAGATGCTTGACAGTCTTGTTACATGACATGGAGGTGTGTCGGCATACGAACTGATACATGCTGCAGCAGATCGCAAATTTTGGAGAGGCGTGATCGCCCACGCCAGTCGGCAAGGCACCTGATGATGATGATGATTCGTGTGTCAAAAATGTGAGACTAATTTTGAAACTGCCGGAAAAAGTCAATTTTGTTCAGAAAATTCGTCATATAGGACGTATCCCTTGTTTACTGTTATTATTCTTAGGTTAGAACAGATGCGGACAGGGCATCATTAGGTATGCTATTATGGCTATTTATTCTAACTAAAGTCGTGTAAAGTCGCTGGACGTGTTTAGAATAGGCCGCCTTCAACAAAGAGTTGAGGTCTCTCCACTTTCTCTGAAATTGGGGTGGGATCTCAAAGGACCTGAGTTCCCAGATTCTGATGACTATGTTCCTTTCACCTGGATTATATCAAAAAGTCATTACATTTTTAGCACTTTATTAGAAGATATAAAATTTAGTAATGACAACCATAGCCATGCTGAAAACCTCTAAACCTTATGGGACGCAGTAACAATTGTTTCCCATCTGTTCAGAACTTTTTTTGTTTGTTCGCCCTGAGACTAATTTAAAAAATATATATAACTGTTGTTGACCCTCCCCCCTTTTCCCGGTCTAGACTGTGTAAGAAGTATGGGGGTGGGGTGGGGGTGGGCTACAGGCGAATGTTCACAACATTATTCGTCTAGTACCTGTTTTTCTGTAAAAATACAAGTCAAGAACAATACGCCAGTCAGTTAGTTAGTCGATAGATTATCCTCACTCAACGCAAAGCTTTGCCTCACTGCACATCGAACCATTCAGTCCACAGTTGCTCGGACCCTCTTCTCAGTAAATCCCGCAGCGCGTAGCGAATGGCGACACCAGTCTTGTGTTGATTTTCTATTCTTCTTCGGCTTCCTGCAAATCTTTCTTGTCTGGGTACACCCCTTTTGACATGTTATTCCTGCAGTCTGGCCATGGTTGCAGATTCAGTCACCACTTGCTTCTCGCAAATTCTTACTTCTCGTAGAAGTAAGTAAAGTAAAGTAAAGGACCTTTTTTTAGGCTATAGGGCATATAGGGCTAGACCTATATTTTTATAGACCAATCGGCCCAAGATAAGTGATGTAGTCAGCATCACGCCGGCCGCCTCTACTTCCCGGAACTTCTCGTAGAGCATTCAGTATATCAGCATTGTCTGTGGCTCGTCCGCCCTCTACGGTAGATTTACAGGCAACCCTGTCAGCTTGTTCATTTTCTGTGTGCCCTGGCAGGAATATGAAGATGTTAAGTGTCAGTCCCGATCACCCCAGAGACTCCATCACTGTATCTGGAACCAGCCAATCTCTTATCTTTCTGAGCTCACTGTCAAGTGCTCACTGAGTCACCGAGAAACATGCGCGGGTAAAGGTTTGCGACGCAAGCCATGTTAGTGCTTTGGTCACAGTCATGACCTCCATAGTCAGACTATTTGTGGTCAAGGCAATTATTACCCCAACTTGAGCCGTAAAAGCTCCTGAGCTTCTCGCATGGCAAAAAAAATAGACCCATCTGTGTAAATGACTGTTCCCCTGTAATTCCTTGCTAGGTCTTAGTCCTCAAGTGAAAACACCCGCTGAATGTCTTCAATCTGACCCATCCACGAATGTCCTCTCTTTAATCTGCTGCCTTCCCCCTTTATTTTCATTATGCAGCTGGTATCGCGTGTCTACTGAGTGTCGTAGGTCTTGTATACCCAAGTATAAAATGTATAACCTTGTTCTTGATCCTTTCCATCTGCTTATGCCTTATGGCTGATGTACTTTTTCAGTTTTGCTGGAACAACCTTACGAGAAATGAGCGTGGGAAAGAAAGAAGTTAAATAGATAGATTATCTTGTCCAAATTCCATCAGTGGAACAAGAACGCAGACGTGGTCCGATACTACCGCTCTTACAAAATGGAAAATGATCGTCGCTGCGATATTGGCATGGCACATAAAGAGGAAGGTATGTTTTTAGCGTAGCGAATTCATAAATGTACGAACTCCAGGGGCACTTACTCTTTTACAACTCTATAATACTTTGTAAAACACTTTCTGATTCAAGTTACCTAGACGCCAATGCGAAGAGTTTCATTATGAAAGTTCATAGTTAATGTTAATAATTTACAAAGCAATGGAAGATACGAACAATTGGAAGTAGAAAGGGTGCGAAATATACACAAGCGATCAGTATGAGGACACATTTAGTTTTTACTATTTTTAGTTTAGTGTAGTAATGAAATGATCACCTCCAATGTCCAATGTCACTTGCTGCAAAAAATTTACATCCTTACTCTTGGTTACCAAGTCTGTCAAATTCAAGTTTTTTCCCCTTAAAATTTACTAATTAACTAATAAATCTTTTTAAAATTAGTATTATTAATTTTTAAATGAATACTGTTGTTAAATATTACTACTATGTCGGTATTGAGATAATTTTTGGCTCTCCTCCGAACGGCATAATATTAATAATTATTATGGCGGCCATAAAATATCCGAACGGGGCTCAGTTGTATTATTAAAAATATGCCGGCTCCTTATAACGAAACAAATGCTCTAACAGGGTCTCAGCAATATGTTACTTGTGGACCTGTTTCTGTGACAGTGCCTCACCGCCAACCGTATCCCCCGCGCCGCTACGCGCGGTACAGATGGGGGCTAAACTAGATGGCTGGGACTCACGAGCAGCAGCTACTGCATCTCCTGCAACTTCCTCCAACTAATTTCGTCATGAGTCGCAGGCACCTAGTTTAGCCCCCCCATTCGCGCCGTGCATAGCGACGCAGGGGATACTCTCAGTGGTAAGTTTAATCGGGTTTTGCGCATGCCGAAAAGTGTGAGGATACAGGTCGGCAGGTCTGACATCTACGGCTGCTAAATCCTCAATCGGACGAACAGTATTGCTAATCTGTGTGGGAGCGCGTGGTCTACCCGCCATATCGCTTTCATCGTTTGTAATGTCTCGAAATTGTCAACGGTCACTAATATCATCTGCAGAAACGCTCGAAATTGTCAACGGTCAGTATTTATCGTCTGCTACTACCGTATGCAATGTTGATATTGTCAAGTAATCCTAGAGTTTTGCCGTGATTTGTTCCTTGGCAGAAAGTCTGTATTTTAGAAATGCCTGAGCCCCGTTTGGATATTTTTGGAGAGCCAAATTTTTAATTATTTATAATTATAAGAGCAGAACTAGATAGTTAATATATATAGACTATCCTCCGAATGACGGCCAAAAGCAGGGCCGCAGTCACATGCAAATTGCGGACTTCCGGCGACTATACCGCCATCGCCAAGAGTATCTCCCGTGCCGCTAAGCGCAGCGCGGAGTGGGGCTAAACTAGGTGACTGGGACTTATGAGCAAAGCTGCAGGAGATGCGAAAGCTGCTGCTCCTGAGTCCCAGCCATCTACCAATCCACGCCGCATGTAGCGGCGTGGAAGATACTCTCGGCAGTGGCGGTAGTTGCCAGAAGTGTGCAATTTAAGTCACAGGAAGTCTGCAATTTACATGTGACCGAGGAGGCCCTGTTAGGGTGTTTTTGTGGGCGTTAATCGGAGGATAGCCTATATATATATATATCATTGCCCCATAACTGGTGTTGTTGGGTCACCAGTTGTCGTTGAATGTCTGATCAGCTCCCTCCACCTTTGATGGTTAGTTCCAATAAAGATATATATATATATATATATATATATATATATATATATATATATATATATATATATATATATATATATATATATATATATATATATATATATATATATATATATATATATATATATATATATATATGTATATAAGACCCATGTTTAGCTTTTTTCACTTTGAGCATATAGTGCTGGACCTATTTTATGTAGACCGAATGACCCTCTTTCAATGATGTCATCAGCACCATGCCAGCCATCTTTACTTTCCAGGGCATTGCTGCTTTGTGCTCTTTTCAGGCTGGGTTAATCTTGAAGCCAGGGTCAGTTTAATAAAACTGTTGTCTCAATTTGGTTTTGAACTTTTGATCTTTAGGCAGGCAATCCATGCAGACCCACACACACCCACATAGTGTGTTTAAATACATTTGTATTGATTTTGAATCAATACCGGAGTAAAGGTGTGAGGATAATTTAAGAAAAAACACACACATGGAGGTGTCAGAAATTTTTCATTTGTCAAATTGTAGTTAATGGTGCCAGGAAAATGTTTCAGTAAGTAGAATATTCACCACATAACCCAGTGAACATCTACTGAAAAAACACATTGGGGCTACACCATATACCCAGTAATGTATCCCTCAAGGTGTGAAACCTGCCCTTCACTTTTTACTTATATCTAATTAACTTCAAATCAGAAAACACTTCAGGTAATTTTAGTCACTTTTTTTTGGGTGCATTCTGTAGAATAAAAGTATGTTTGTTGTGTTATCAGCCTTTTGAATTTGCCTAATGCTTGCTCAACAGATAAGTGAAAGCAGGAAAGTCGTACATCAACCATAAAGATGTCTTACCAGGATCAGTCATGGAATTCAGAAAGAAACAGTTTTGGAGAACCTAGGCATTTTCCAGAAAGGCAAACATTAAATGGGCAGCATGAAAATTTACGGCAGCAAAATCAGAGACCTCCGCAGATGGGGCCTCCACCACGTGAACAGTTTCATAACTTTGCACCTATGTCTGAGGCACCTTATAACAATGTTGAAAGCCATGGGCGCATGCAACAGCAATTACAGTACCAGAATCCACCACCAACACAGCATCATATGCCACCACTGCGGCCACAGCCACCACCGCAGCATCATATGCCACCACCGCGGCCACAGCCAACACCACAGCATCATATGCCACCACCGCGGCCACAGCCACCACCACAGCATCAAATGCCATCTCTATGGTCAGAGCCACCACAGTTAGCATTACAGCAACAAAGGCCACCATCGTCATTTCCACCACATAACCAAATGCCACCATTATGGTCGCCATCTTCATCATTTCCACCACAACACCGGATGCCACCACCACGACCAGCACCACCCTCATTTCCACCACATCAGATGCTGCCACCATCACACTCGCAGCTACGACCACCACCAGTGACACCTTCTAACTTTCCACCATATCAAAATTTCCCGATGCCTCCAGCAAGTCATATCATGCCTGGGGCAGGTCCAATACTTCCCAGTCAGCAGGCCATTGGAAGTGGTGCTTTCTCAGGCCTAGAAACTAATTCTCAACCATCACCAAATCCAATGCATAATTCCTTTCAGCAGATGCCCAGTTATCAACCTTTTCCACCGGTTTCTACTCATGGAGCTCCACCAGATAATTTTCAGCATCCCATGACAATTGCAAGCCAACATAAAGGCATAAGTAATCCACAGTTTTATGTGGGAAGCAACAAGTCTGAAGCAGATGATAAAGATTTAGGATCACAAAAATTGGAGAACTGGCTTCAGAAGATTGGAAAATTTAAGAAACATCAGTTTAAAAGTTCATCATCTAAACAAACATCATCCGAGCAGGTACATCTTCTTTAATTTTAAACATGCGCACATGTACGCTCATACACAGCCCCCCCCCCCCCCCTCCCCCTTAAACATAGACACTTTGTTTTTAGTCATTGTGTAGCAGTATGCCTTCTTATTGTTTCTGTTTTGAGAGGTTTACTTTATAGCTGTTTATTAACCTAATTCTCATGCAACCACTTCAAAGGTTTGATAAAATCTGAAAGTAAACACATCACTGGGTCATACTTCATCATATTCTTTTCCCCCAGTTACCTCATAGATGTGTTGATGTTCAGTGTAAGGATCTTCTGTGTAGTCTTTCTAATACATTGTGTAAGTTGTTCATTTCTGTAAGGCTGTTTTTAATATTGTCATTCCATGTTTTTCACGGTCTTCCCCTTGTCTGCATTCATTATATTTCTTCATCAGAGCTCTGTGTCATTAGGTACCAGGGCATTATTGTCATATGGCCAGACCACCTCCTCTTTTGTTCTTTAATTAATTGTATGGCTAGTTATTCTAGTCTTCTGATTTCATGGTTAATGTGTTTTTTTCCTGTTACTCCACCAGCTCTTCCAAGACAACTCATCTCTTGGGTCACATTATATCCTCATTGCAGCTGAAACAATGTGCATGTTATGTTATCGCAGTCAACTTCTCTGCACATTGGACATTCCTATGTGTGCTTAGTCGTCTGCTGCAACAGCCACTCTAAGGTATCACTACTTATTGTTCCCATGAGAAGCTGGTCTCCTGTCTTGACATTGAAGACGGCATGAATGTGCTTCACCAAGCTTTACTCCCAGTTCATGCAGTCATGTTAACATCAACAGTTCATCATGATTCCTCAGCCCAGTCCATATAGTGTTGATGATATCAGCTCTGTCCATGCCTCTTCCCTTTTTGCACTGGGGCAATACTTGCTAGCTGGCTCTTTATGCAAGGTCTGTTTCAGGTTGGTGGTAGTCCTGAGTAAAGATCGTCTTTATTGATCTTTGGAGTGTAGTGAAGATGGGGGTAACCAATTTCCTTTGTGAGTTACTTGTAGCTGTTTCTTCATCATCAACTGCTTTGTTGGCTGGCAAGGGTGATTAAGCTTCTATCATGTAAGACATTTTGTCCTCAGAGCAGGGATGGGTATAATATCATCCTGTTCATGATTGTGATAAGATTCACAGAGTAAACTGTACCTAATCCTGCTGGAGATAATAAGGCTAACCTGACAGCAGGTGGATAAACAGGATCGAGAATATCTTATAACAGGTGTTCAACTATTGGAGTCCAATCTGGCTCGCAGAGGCCTAGCAAGTCGCCCATGGATCATTGCCAGCTGCATTGCTATAGGGATCTTTCTGTACTGGGCCTCAGGCCTCTGATGATCACCATTTTCAAAAGTTAGGCTGCTGGGTAAGCTTGGCTGAATAGCCCTGGCCTACCTTACAGTGACCCAGGACAATAGTAGACAGCAAAGCATGCCTGGCATTAGAGAATAAACTGCAGCGTCTCACAATACATGACAAGGCAGATGTGGTCAAGGCCCTTATGGAACAAGCAACGGAATCAGTAGAGAAAGAAGATTATTATGGCCTTTAGAGAATGGGTGTAACCAGAGGGTCTGGCCGGCTCACTACACTCAGAGGAAAGGCAAGATGAACATATAACCAGATTGTGACCAGTACCATCAGTATTGGAACTATGCACTGGCTGCTGAAGATGAGGAAGGAGCACACATGGGAATGCCGCTAATGCTGTGATGTCAGTTCTTGACTCAACTCAACTGCAGCATCCCACAGAGCTGTATAGCATCTGAACAAGCAATAGGAGCAAAACAGTTCTTCTAGTGGTTCCGCAATGAATCTACAAGATTTCTTCTTCTCCTCCTCCTCGTTCTCCTGTTTCCTCATCAGTGTGTTGGGTGAGATGTAAGGATTTTCTGTGTACTCTTTCTAATGCATTCTATAAGTTTGTCTTCATAAGGCTGTCCTTGATGCCATCATTCCATATTTTGCATAGTCTTACCCTGGCTCTGTATTCATTATGTTTATTTAGCTTGGTTCTCTGGCAGCTGGTACTAGTGAGTAGACAAGACATGATTTAATAAATTCTCCCCACCATTTTCTATCATTATGTCCTAATTACAAATTTGTAAGATTCCCCTTATTACTTTTTTATTATCATGAATATAGTTTTGAAAACCAAGTAACTAATTATCTCTTGATGGAAGTTACCAAGTTATCTATTTTTACTTGTTAAATTATTTCAGTTCTAACAAGTCAGTAGAAATTTAGAGAAGTAATAAAGACAGGGAAAAAAGTTAATGCTTTTGAAAACAAATGCTTGACAAAAGTGATAACCATTAAATGTGATGAATTTAAGAAAGACAAAGAAATAAGGAAATGGTGATCTATTGGGTATATTTTAAGATTAAGCTGACAAACAGTTGCAAAACAGGCAGTGAAATGGGAAACAAATGGACTGATGAAATGATGATGTTCAAGAAAAACTTTACGTAGAACAGAATAGAGGCATTGTGTACGAGCCTTATGTTATGTATAAACAGATAACAGACTGTTGATAGTGATGATTAACTCTTTGAGTCCCAGGGGGTTTTGCACCAGAGGCCCAAGGGGGGTAATATGATTTTGACTTTTAACAAATGCAGCACTTTAAAACAAGCCACACAACTGCAGCTGATGTCCAACATACACATATCATACATAAAATTAAACATAAATGGATAAGGATTAATATTAGCATACTGCTACAACAAACAGTTATACCGTTAGTTAGTTTTTAGTAGAGAAAACAGTGACTTAGTTTGAGAGGTGAGTAAATTATAAACAAGTTTTTTCCACTTACCTAGAAGCTGATCCCAAAATTCTTGATATAGTATATCCAAAATGCATCACAAAGGAAGGTACACCACTTATAAGTATGCACAGCCAATATTAAAACAAAATGTGCAATAGTTGTTGTTCCATAGCAATTTTAAAAACACTACCATAACACGTCAAAATATATTCTCCAGTGGCACAAACAGTGAATTTTCTAAAAACAATTGAATTCCTCACATAGAAAAAAACTGTAAAGGCACTGTAAACATGTCAATCTGTTCATAGATATATATCTATGGTTTTAGATGATATGGATAGTAGTACTAGAAGCGCTGACATTTGGATTAGCTGGTGTCGCGTTACGAGGTGCTTCTCTTGTGTTGCCAAGGCAGAATTAGTCAGTTTTGTTCTCTTAGCAGGAGGTAAATTACGCATACATCCTCATCAAAACTTGACTCGTCAACGGTTTGGGGAAATTTCACGTTTCTACTATTATTATCCAACTCCACATTACTTTAATCGATCCACTGTTTTATCAAATATGATGATTCTAAAGCAGTAAATCGCTTTGATGGGTGTGAAGACGATGACTGATTGGACATATTGTTTTCAGACAATTGTTTGGTAACGTAGTAGACCACACAAATATCGATTTAAAGCGTTAAAAACTCACCAGACCCAAACGAATTTACTCCACGTGTGTTCACTACACACTTGAGCACCGGAAAGGAAGTTTAAATTGAGCGGTTCGCGTGTAATTACCGATAGGTGGTAAATTAAAAACCGTCACACGTCATGCGCTGCTTGGGCCGCCAAGTAGTAAAAAATGAGCGCGTGATGCGTTCCTTGGGACTCAAAGAGTTAATGGAAATAATTATTCTCTAATATTTAACAGCAAATAAACATTCAGAGAAAAAAAAAGCAGCGAACTTTCTTGTGCTTTAAGAGTTAATCTAACAACTGAGCAGAAAAAGTGTCATGATTTTTTTTCTGCATTGTCTTCAGATTTGGAAACCAGTGAACCAGTTTCGAGCCATGACACAGCTGATTACAACTATGTCCACCAAACTGCAAGAGCTGCAGGATGGAGCTGCATCAGCAAGCGCAGCTGAATGGAAAGATTTGACACTCGAGTTGGAAACATTAAAGGTAGTAAACTGTGTTAACACTTGTCTGCCTGCTTTGATGGTTGCCTGGGGACACCCAGATCAAAAGCATATCAGGGATTTTCTGTCCAGGATATTTAAGTGGGTGAGGTAATGAGCAGGCTCATAGATTAGCTGCTGCCGCTTCTCTGGGCGGTCAGCTACTATAACATAACCCTTGACCCATTAGGGTTGTGGAGATGTATTGATGGGGAAGCACTAGCACATAAACCCGTCCCCATTTTTTCCTCTGTATGTACCAGGGTCCCATTTTTGCTCTGTGTGTACCAGGGCCCTATTTTTGCTCTGTGTGTACCAGGGCCCCATTTTTGCTCTGTGTGTACCAGGGCCCCATTTTTGCTCTGTGTGTACCTGGGCCCCATTTTTGCTCTGTATGTACCAGGGCCCCATTTTTCCTCTATACCTACCTGGGCCCCATTTTTCCTCTATACCTACCTGGGCCCTATTTTTGTTTAGATACCCCTTTCCACCTCATGAGATGGTAATAGTTAGGGCACACCTTGACAACTACATTAAATACTGTGCTAGTGTACCCTGTTATCGTCCTAGAGGGATAAGAAGAGACAGTGTACATGAAATCACTTCTTTTGGCTTGCATACAGTTGGGTAATGTCTGCTACTCTGTGAAGGTAAAATAAAGGACCGTTTTGTTACACTGCTTGTACACTGGGTATATGGTGCTAGACTCATATTTGCATAGACCAGTCGGTACTCGTGGGAAATGTGGTGAATGTCGCACTGGTCACCTTTCTTCTTAGGGCATTACTTAGTGTCTATTTTTAGGCTGGAAGCTAAAGTCAATTTTTAAAGATTAACTGCTGAAATGTGCCCCCCGATGCTGAGAGGCGTAGGTCCCATTTGAAACGTGCGGTCAGGTACAAACGAATGCAGCATGAATGTAAAGAATGTAACATAAATTACAATGCCACCAGCCAAGAGTGGTAGAACAGTCAGAGATTAATTCCCAACGACGAAAACGGACGCCTATAATGTTAACAATGAACTTCAATGCGTCCAAACGGCAGTTAAACTCTGAAGGCCATGTATATATACCAATGGTGTATTGACGAACACTTTGATCCAAATTGAGAAAATGTGCAAATTATCTGACACTTGGTGAAGACTGACCCAAACACACCAGCACTCACTACCGCACGCACACTCGTCTAGAGAAATTCAAATTACATCTTTAAACAACTCTTTACGGGTCAGCAGTCCGACCTCATGAGTCCGGATGGGCACATCAATCTCCTCTTCTGCTGTCTGAACAGGGCAATGTCCCTCCTTAGTGATTCGGCCAGGAGATCCCTTAGTTTTAGATATACCGGCTTCATGTCGAGCGCAATAATCAATGTATCAGCTCTCGGCTAAGGTTTCTAGTGGAATCCCAGGGTAGAGCATCCTCAAAGATCCACTGAGACACAACCACACGTCTGTCTCTTTGAAACTCTATACCCCTAATCCCTTAGATTATAATTCCTTAACAACATTACGAATTGTTTTGACGTCCTATTTGCTCAGTCAGTATCGGTGTGTTTTAGTTCATATCTGCACTCGACAACCGCCTTGATGCAGTTTAAGCCCATGACCTACTGCAGCAGATAAGTGTCTACACAGTGTGCTACAGCAGCTTTTCTTCTGCTCTGTAGACACTAAATAATTTAGAATAAAGTGACATTAAAGAAAATAATAAAAATCAAAATGCAATTTTGACATTACTGACCTCTCTGTCCTTATTGAATCATAAGATTATATATTTTATATATTCTGTATGTATAACTGTGTTATCTATGGTTTAAAAGGGTTTCTGTGATTTGAACCTGTTTAATTCTTATTTATGAGATATACAGAATGCATTACTGGAAAGGAACACTCAGAAACAAGATGGCAAACATTGAAGAAAGCGTAGAGAAACCCAGAAGTTAAAAGATATTTCCTAATCATCTAGTTTTCAGGGCAGAAATATTGGAAGGTATCTCTCTCTCTCGGTGTGTGATTGGTGCCAGCATGGAATAATCAGAATAGGATGACGACATAAAGTCTGTTAGCAGCTCTGTAGAGTATCTGCCATGTATCCTTTAAAAGATTTTACTATTTAAAATCTTAGATAATTGTTACACTTCTGCCTGGAATCTCTCCCCAGAATTGATAATTTTATAGTTGTCAAATGTTAGAATTTTTCTCCATTTTCTGTATAGTTTCACCCTTTTAATGCATATTATCAGTATGAAAATATAATAATTGTTTCCTGTATTTGTCTAAAAAACAGTACTGTTTTGCCTAGTTAAGCTTTTTGTCTTTTCCTAATTTATCTTGTGCTGTGAAATCCCAGAATACTAATCTTATCAAATTTCATTTCCTCATTCACTTCAAGCCTGTTTGTGCAGGGTTATGACCTTTCAAATTTTCTGGTGAGTTGTCTATGATGCAAGCAGCTGAGGTTGTGATCCAAACTTCTTTTGATAAACTTCACATCTCACATCTTAACGGACATATAACCAGATTGTGACCGATACCATCAGTATTGGAACTCTGCGCTGGCTGCTGAAGATGAGGACGGAGCGTGCACGGAAATGCCCCTAGTGCTGTGATGTCAATTCTTAACTCAACTCAACCTAACATCTCATCATTGTTGTTCGAACATGTGAACGAACTTTATTTTTAAAGGGTCACAAACTGGGCACGCAGGCCTGTCTTACATTCGCCCTTCCAAACATCCGTCTTTCACACTACATTGTTCAAGTAAAAGAGCCTCCATACTCATGGTCGCTTAATTTATAGTAGTAGTTTTAAAAATATCCTGTTCACCCCTTAGGTTCAGGATCCTCGCCAGTGCTACAGAGTTCGTGCACTGCGCTGAGATTCTTTGGACTTAGACTTGAGTAAGAAGTAGAACGGAGCACTTATGGGTTACTGCCCTTGTGCTATGGCAGTGATCCGTTGTATTAACCATTGGGATAATCCTGGAGGGGAAAAACTAAGTTATTAATAAATATTTAAAGAAAAAAGCACATCTCAGAGATGGAAGAGGGTCCAAATGAGGGACAGACAATTAAATATTTTTTTTTCTCTTTTCTGAATAAAGCTAATCTTCTGTTTCAGAATACGAGTGGGGTAATGTAAATAACTGTTTAAATTAAAAGACTCTTCAGTTACTCATGTTCAGTTGATTAAATTGCTTATAATTCATAATCTTTTTTCACAGAGGCAGTACATTGATCTGGAATCATTGCTAGATGAAAGTTTAATAGAAAAAGTTGCAAAGAAATTGCTCAGACAGCGAAATAAAAGGGTATGTGTGTACACTGTGAGACATAAGTAATATATCATTGTCAGTTGCTGAAATAAGTTCAGTATATGATACATTTTATACTGACTGTTTCCTAAGAGTGTGGAAATTTAGTGGAAACCACCACGTCAGTTTGCCCAGATCAAGTTTATAGACAGTTGCGGAACTAGGTTAATGTGTTTTTGTGTGTTGGCATCTGGCTTAGGCGTGGCACACGTTAAGCTAGGGGTGCGGGATTTGATCCCAGCTGCTAACATTTTGACAGCAGACCACCTTGTGTTGGTTTCGTCAGTGGTATGGGGAGCTGACCATTCAAAAATTAATGGCAAACTACTGAACATAACATTTGCCTAGAAAAACAACCAATAAATGCCGGGGTTGGTTCTGCAATGTCCTGTATATAGGACACACAGCTAACTTTTGTGTGTGTGTGTGAATAAGTAATTATCTTCAAAAAAAAAAAAAATCAAAATGTCTTTGATAATTATACACTGTCATGCAAGTTCTCATGTTGAATATGACATGTGTATTAGTTTTGTGTGTGTAGAGCTCCACTTAAGTTGCTCTAAGGCTTATTTTTACAGCTGATTTATGGCTTCCGTCAGCATTTGTGACTTGGGTGTTGCCAGTGCACTTTATAATTCTGAAGTACCTGGTTCGATTCAATTGCGGACATTTTGGCAGCAGACCGTCTTGTGTTTGATTTTGAAAATTGTGCAGCGTGCCTACCGGTCAGAAAGCAAACTACTGAATGTAAAATTGACTAGTGAAACCAGACAGCTAACGCATGCTGGGATTGATTCTGCAACATTATGTAAAGGATATGCTACTAACATTTGAGGCTTCCAGGTTGACCCATCCTTAAATGGATACAAAGAAATGTCCTGAGAAACGGCGACTAATGTTATTCTGACCACATCACCCATTAAGTGCCTATCAGGCGATACAAATGGATGTAGCCTATCTCCTTGTGCAAAAAGCATGATATAGGTCTTTTACTTTTTAAATTTTACCTCTTAGTTCTTACAGGTTGAAGTTTAGTATTGATTCAGTGGGCCAGTTTGTGTTAAAGTAACAAGTAGTTTTGTGGTCACCTTTATTTAAATGGAATAAAGTCAATTCCATTAGTAAATATTGAGGAGAAGCAATTAAATTATTAGCTAGGCAAAGGTAAGTTAAATAAGTTTATATTTTAATGAATGACTAAAAAAGATAGGTTGAGTTTCTTGGTGTGGAATGAGTTAATGGTGATGCAGTGATTTCTCTAACAAGCACTGAGAAAAGAGAAGACTGCTGTTTTACGTACAGTTGACTACCTATACCTCACAGAATGCATCTTCTTCTTCTTCTTAAGCCTTCTGAGCCTTTGAGGTTTCTTGCAACAGGTATCGCCCACATTATTTAATACCTTATCAACAGAAGAAGAGAATGATCAAATCAATCAGAATGCCACCGAAACTGGCACAAGATGATTACCGTATTATGGACAGACCAGAGCAAGTCATTATCCTTCGCCTTAGAACAGGGCACAATCGACTTCGCTCCCACATGTACAACAAATTTAAGATTGGCCAATCAGCCATGTGTACTTGTGGACTGGCACCTGAAACAACAGATCACATCCTTCAAGACTGTCCCAAATTCAACGCTTTCAGGCAAAACCTTTGGCCAAAAGAGACACTTGTGGAAGTCAAACTTTACGGGCCGCTTAGTGAATTACAAAAGACAGTGAAATTCATACTAGAGACAGCTTTGCAGATATAGACAATTTATTTCATGCGAACGAAAGAAGAAGAAATTATTTAATACCTCTAATTGACCTTATTTTTCCAGTTGGTAACTGGCAATGTTTGCTATAGGTCTGCATACACATTATCTCTATATTGTCTTCTTGGTTTGCTTTGTGGTCTACTCCAATTCATTGTGAATGAGGCTGTGACTGTTTGTAGTTTTTGTTGGATCCAGTGCAAAATGTTTGTCAGATGCCCCCAGCAGGCACCAAAGGTAAATAGCTATCAAAGGCCAAAAACATACTGGCTGGAGATGGTGAAGTTAGTTGACTCCCAAAATGTAGTAACCGGAAATCTCAAAGTGGAAATGTTTCTGGCACTCATCAGCCTGCTCCTAAAGCCATTGGTAAAAAATGCTCACAGCATGTAATTTTTATCATCATGTAGCAGGTCCTTTGCAGAATGTTACTCACATCACAGTCTACCTGAAAGAAACTCAGTCTCTCGCCAGTTCTCCCGTCTCATGCACTTTCACACTCAAGGAGTCACTTATATCTTGTGCCCATTTTCATGTTTGTCAGCCCCTGTCCCTCCTTCCTGGTACTATGCTTTCTGCATTTTTTTTTTTTTTCAAATCCGCTATGGCATTTGATATGACCAAAGTATTTCAGCTTTCAAGTCAAGATACTGTTTTTTAGCCACTTCCTTGATGTTCAGATATTTTAAAATGTCAGTATTTCTTCTCTTCTTTGTAGTATTCTGAGAATCTTTCTTTAGCATTTTGGCTCAAAAGCCCCTTTTTTCTTTCTGAAGGATTGGGAGATAGTCCAAGACTCACATCCATGTGTTACTACAGGGAAGATGCGCTCTCAAAATTTTAATTTTGATTTCCTTGCTGGTGCTTAACCCTAGACTTTTAATGCTATTTAACTTTTGATACAGTTTGTAAATAGTTAAGTTTTCAGGATGTTGCAGAACCAACCCCATCATTATTTAGCTGTTTGGTTCTACTAGGCAGTTTTAGGTGCCATAGTTATAAACTATAATGAAGATGTCCTGAAAGAAATAGACTCTTGAAGAAAATTGATTGCCTACATAGGAAGGAGAAAAGGTAGATGAAGACTGAGATGCTGAATAGTTTGACATCATGGCATCTGTGTCAGAAGTGATTAAAAGTACACAGGACAGAAGGTTGTGAATTGCTATGATTACCAGTGCCACACGGCATGGACAAGAAGAAGAACAAGTTGTAAACATTGTGATAATTTAATGAACATATATTGATTGGCTTTATAGAAAGAAGCAGAGATAGGAGGACACACTAGACAACTAATAAACATGTATTGATTGGCTTTATAGAAAGAAGCAGAGATAGGAGGACACACTAGACAACTAATAAACATGTATTGATTGGCTTTATAGAAAGAAGCAGAGATAGGAGGACACACTAGACAACTAATAAACATATATTGATTGACTTTATAGAAAGAAGCTGAGATAGGAGGACACACTAGACAACTAATAAACATGTATTGATTGGCTTTATAGAAAGAAGCAGAGATAAGAGGACACACTAGACAACTAATAAACATATATTGATTGGCTTTATAGAAAGAAGCAGAGATAGGAGGACACACTAGACAACTAATAAACATGTATTGATTGGCTTTATAGAAAGAAGCAGAGATAAGAGGACACACTAGACAACTAATAAACATATATTGATTGGCTTTATAGAAAGAAGCAGAGATAAGAGGACACACTAGACAACTAATAAACATGTATTGATTGGCTTTATAGAAAGAAGCAGAGATAAGAGGACACACTAGACAACTAATAAACATATATTGATTGGCTTTATAGAAAGAAGCAGAGATAGGAGGACACACTAGACAACTAATAAGCATGTATTAATTGGCTTTATAGAAAGAAGTAGAGATAAGAGGACACACTGGACAACTGAAGAATCAAAAACTTTAGTTGCCATACCAGGACTTGAACCTGTTGCCTTTAGATAATGATGACACCTCATTGTGGGAACAAGTGTACTTTGACTCATGACTAAGCACCCCCGAGGAAAAGTGTCCTCAGTGGCCTGGTCTGACACACACCTGAGCCAACAACAGTGGAATATGGTCAGAATTTGTATCCAACCATTGAAATAGCACCACAGATTACAGAAATATATATTAACCAAGCATAAGTCATTTAATAGAAACATCAGACCAGGATGCTTGTCTAGTTTACAAAGAGTATTGCAGATTTACAGTTTTGAAGGCATAATTTAATTTATGACAATTCAAATAAAAATCATAGAAAAGTTAATACGATTATATTTTTACACTTCTCTTTCAGTAATGTGGTGTATTTCAACTCATTTTTTGCATAAAGTTAACTTTTGGACTCCTTTAAGATGGCGTCACCATGTTATATCCTTTAATGTAGCTTCTATACTTTATGTATCCTTAAGAATAATGGGTAAACTACTTAGGTTATCCAGGATTCTTCATTTGATTTTTTATTGTTGTCAGACATTCATATCCAGGAAAGCTAAGCTGGATAACAAATGTCTGAAGAAGTTTGGTACACAACCATGCTGTAAACGTTCCCAGCGCCACAAGTGGACAGAGAAGAAGAAGAAACATTCATATTTATTTATCATAATGTTTAGTGCTGTATAGCTGTATAGCCTGGCTATTCAACTAAGTTTACTCAGGGGTCAGCATTATGAAAATTGGAGTCCCATCATAGAAAGATCTTTGATATAACACAACTACCAAAGATCCATAGGCCAATTGCTTGACTTCTGGGGGCCAGATTTGGCCCTCGGGCCACCAGCTGAAAAGCCCTGCTATATAGGATAAACTCTACCAGCAGGAGATGTAAGGTTTCCTTCCGTGAGCCTGCAGGAGACTTCATGGGCGGGGGTAGAGCAGGCTCGGCATTGTTCCATGAGAAAACATTTGTGTCACAGGTGATTGACAGTATATGAGACATATTTCCATGGCGTGTGTGTGTGGCATCCTGATTGCTGTGGTGCGCCTCCTGACTGGTTGCCTCCGACTTCAGCACCTTGTTTTGCAAGGGTAGACTGTGGTCATACTCGAGGAGAGTAGGCGAACGAAAGAAGAAGAAGAAGTACATGAGACAGAAGATTTTGGACAGATATGATGCCAACACCAGACAGCATGGGCTATATAGGAAGGAAGGAAATGCTTAGTAACTTGACATTACTTGTTATTGTTGGTTGAGACTGAGTATTCTGTGCAATCTTTCTTTGTCAGTTGACACAAGAAAGAGAATTCTCAAGAGCTATATAAAACATATCCTGATACACAAAAGTGAATCATTTGGTAGCGGCAGAGGTATGGTTTTGTAGATGAATGATAATACCCTGGGCAGATAAAAAGAGTAATAAAAATGACAAGAGGGAAACTGACTCACGAAGAGAACTGATTGCCCAAATCAGAAAGAGACAATCTACATTCTTTGGTCATGTCATGAGAAGGAGAAAACTGGAGTGCCTCATGATAGTGGGAAAGTTGGAGGGGAAAAGAGGCAGAGATAGACAGAGAGAGAAGATGCTGAACAATTTGACATCATGGTACGGAAAATCATCTGTGTCATAATTGATTGAAAATGCAAAAGACAAAAGGTTGTGGATATATATATGACTAACAACGCACATGCATGGACTATAAGAAGAAGAGGATTCATTTTGATGTTTTTTTCTATGTAAATTGCTTGTCTTTTAGTTAAACATATGAAATATACAGTAAATGGCTTTGAGAGTTGGAAAATGTTATTACACCGAGTATTCCTGTGCAATTAATGTTTACAGCAATAATGTCAGACTAAAATACTGCTAGATTTAAACTTAGTCTGATGACAGTAAAACGCAGTTTAGTTTGTAGAAAACAGTAATGAAGGATCTGATTCCTGGAAGATGAGGCAAGGGTCAGCGAGTATAATGGTGGAGATGGGATATCAAGGACACCCTAGGCATCAGAGTTCATGAGGTGAGAAAGTTGCCAGTAACTGGGTGGCGTTCTGACTTACCATGATGAGAGCAGTGTTCTGCAAAAGACCTGCTATGTGATGATGATGGTGGCAATTTGTGGAGGAAGATTGTTTCAGAGGCCAGTTGGTGCCACACTAACCCTTGATTTCTAAGTAGTAGATTGGTTGGACCACAGAGAGCCTTGTCACTTAGACATAATGGAAGCAAAACTAGAGGTTGACCACACAAGCGATGAATAGATGGAGGAAAATGCAAACATCTATATAGCATATACCTAGACTCATGCCTCTTCAAAACCTGACATGCTGAAAGGCAGAATAGGACAATTGAAGAAGATTGGACGTGGTATCTTCTCAGACAAAGATGAAAAGCAACAGAATATTTATAGATTGTTGGTCAGATAGAAATTTTATAATTAACGCTAAAACTGGTAACAGAAAATTCCTGGGAAGTAAAGGTGGCTGGTGTGACATTGACCACATCACCCACCAAGTACCAATTGGTCTATAAAATTAAGGGTCTAGCACCAATCGCTCAATGTGTCAGTGGCATAACATGTGCCCTTTATTTGCTTTTTTAAATACAATAAGTCTGTGGTACTCACTGTTGCAATGGATTTTGTGCACTAAGATGGTAATCTTCGAAGAGTGAACTGACTTAACTCAGAAAGGCATGAGCCAGAACCTTGTGTATGTGAACATCTTCGAACATATCAGACCTACCTCTCTATGTGTTTTGCAGTTACCTTTGCTTCTTCTTAAAGTTGGTACCGTAGGGCATTAGTCGTTCTGTCTGTCCACAGCCTTCTGTATCAAGTGTAGGTGTCTCTGTGATCAGGCCATTTGTCTCATGCTCTGAAGCTCATGGGTCGTCTCAGAGACTGTCATTCTGGTAATGAGTGCAGTTTTTGTGCACGTCCCTGAGGAATTATTACTGGATTACTGGTTTTGTTATTTATATGATGCTCTCAGGTGGCTAGCCATTCTGCCAAGAGAGAAAGAGCTCTTTGGGATAACATAGTGAAGATAATCCTTTCAACTTCGACCTTGGCTTTATCGTCAAAATTCTCTACTGTAACAGCTATTTCATGTGCTGCTGATTACTTGTGATACAGATGTTTCTCAGTGCTGTTATGCCAAACAACTTTGCTGTTATGCCAAACAACTTCCCTCTCTTGATCTCCTCTCCCTATCTGACACCCCCCCCCCCCCCCACCCACTTCTGTTTTATCTTTTCACTTCTCATGACATGCCCAGAGAATATGTAATGTCCACTTCTGATTGAGGTAACAAGTTCTATTTGTAACTTATTGTAACATTTTTTTCATCATCATCATCAGTTGCTTTGCTGACTGGCACGTGTGTTCTCCAGCAGCCTTCATCAGTTTGTTTGATGATACCTTCCCATGCTGTAACAAAAAGCAGTCAAGAATCTTCTCCTATTGTCTTTTCAGTTTATACGCTAGAAATGAACACTACATCCTTCTAATGTTTGTGATAACTTATCTTCATGTCTTAGCTTCTTTTAAAGTATACTTATTCACAGAATTATATATTTCCAAAGAAAAACTGAAAACTTATCAAGTTTTGTGTTATATTTGACCTAATGTGAGAATCATTATCTCAGTCACAATTATTTTTTGTATCAGGCAAGGATAAAGCGAGCGAAGGAGAGGAAGTATGAAGAGCTGCAGAGAGTGAGAGAGGCATGGGATCAGAGGAGTCAACAAATAGACCTCTGGCAGGAAAGACACAGAGCCAAGATTAAGGAGGAAACTTTGGTAAGGGTTACAAAGTGTAGTCAGAACACATTCACTCTTCTTTACTTAGTGTTCACTAGCTGTAAACTCTGGCCGATAGTTCTGATTGTTCATCCACTTCTGGACTTTGGTCTTGTCCCAGAACTTTGAGTTTTTTCCTGCACATGCCATTTAAAGATCTGGCTTATTCGTAAGCAGACTATTGGTTCCTGACTTCTCAAAAAGATACACTCAAACTTCTACGACATGCTTTTTTAAAAACAAAAAGGTGGCAGTGTGTCTTTTTTTTTTTAAAAATCTCTTAAAATGGGGTTTTGGAACACATTTCTGATTATGCTGATGTTTAGAAAAGTTTCACCGAGTCTCAAAGGCACAGTAGCAAGATGCTGGCTTTCTGGCCCAAAGGTTGTGGTTTGATTTCACATTCAGACAGACAGACGTGTTTTCAGAATTGTCTATGGTTTCCAGGTCGACCCAACCTAATCTGGTTACCAGTAAATGACTTGGTAAATAAATGTAGCCAGTGTGATGTTGGCTACATCATCTGCAAAATGCCATTTGTTCTATTTAAAATATAGGTTTAGCACCATATACCCAGTGAAGTGTCTTTTGCTTTTAAAATAAAAATTGAAAGCTTTTAGTATGTGTTGCATCTTTAAAAGTATTACCAACCGTGTAGATTAGGAGGCCCCATTTGGGGGGGGGGAGGGGAGGAGGAGTGGGTGAGGGAGGGGGAGAGAATAGATCAACCGCATTTTGGCCCTGTCACCTCAGTAATTCTTAAAAAAGTGGGCTGTGACCACATGAGAATTCCTGAAAGCAATCCTTTAAAATTCAAGTTTCAGAGCCAGAAAGAATTCAGATTCTGTAAAATTCTTGATTTAACAGAGAAAATCTAGGAAAGCTGCTGCAGATCGTACTTTGAGTAAAGTAACAAGAGAGATTCAAGATGCCAGTCGACTGATTGAGACCATGCTAGCTCTTCAGAAACTGAGGCTGATTCGAAGAGATGCCGCCGAAAAAAGAGGTCAGTTTTCACTATCTTTATATTGATTGTCAGAATATAATGTGTTGATTGCATCTTGATTAGTCTGTCTGTAGACAGTTTTAGTAGTTGTTGCGATTGCCTACCTAGATAGTGGTCATAGTTTAATTCACAGCGGAAAAGGATTTTTCTTCAGATCAGTAAAAATGAGTATGAGACATTTTTCAGAGATTTTATAGGAATAGTCTAGAAAAAAAAGCATGAATTGGAAGGAAAGAGGTCATCCCAACTAATTTATGTCCTAGGATAGTCTTTACCATTTTATGGTAATTATATCCCAACTGGAGGGTGTTCCTTTGAGTTAAATTACTTTTAAAGCCAAGTAAGTTGTTTCAACCTGTTTGTATTTATTTATTACCCCTTTTACACATTTTTATATATTTACAAAAATAATTTTAAAATGTTGATAAATGCATTTTAAAGGAATTTATTTGTGGCCTGAGTAAAATGGTTGTTTTTACATATTTTTTTCTGGAATTCTAATGGGGTCATGACTTATTTTGTTTAGTTTTCCCGAGCAAAAGGTTTAAGGGATCAGTGTTATTTAAAAAAAATGGATACTTAGAATACAATACATTATGCAGTTTTAAAATGTTTTCTTCTTCGCATTCACCGACTGTAAACTCTGGGAGTAATATCTGAGTGTTTGTCCACCTCCAGTCTTTAGTCTTGTTCCAGAATCTGAGTCTTGCATGCACATCCATTTTACAGATCTGATATATTTGTATACAGACTCTTGGTTCCTTGCCTCTCAGACAGATGTACTCTGACTTCAGAGGATGCCCCAATTAATCAACTCCTACAACAGCTTGATGGAGAAATAGTGAGTCTGTTCTTGTCTTCTTCACAGTGGGTCTCCTGAACCCACATGGGGATGATGCTACTGTTTATAGTAAAAGTATAAAATACGTTAGTTCAGTCAATAGGAGACTCGCTTTAAAATCGAGCTGCGACTCGCTGCAGCCGACGGCCAGTGTTCGAAACCGGTCGGTTCCCGGGGTTCACCCACCCTCTGGGTAATGGGTACCAGAGTTACAACTCTAGGGTAAATGGGGGAACGTCACTGTAGCTACGGAGTTGTGTGCGGACGGCGACACAGGCGAACAGTTTCTTTTCAGATGTCCATACTGGTGGCAGAGCACTTATGGTTTATGACTGCATGCAATGATGCTGGTTCACATCTCCCGACTTTACCTTTTTATTTATAAAGTATAGTAAGTTTCTCTGTCAGACTATTGAAAAGTATAGGGCCCCTAGCAGACCTTTAAAAATTAGATTAACATTTTTTTTTATCTAACTGAAAACCACTGGTCTAAGGTATATCAACATTCAGGATGTCACACCCTTAGTCAGTATCTGCTAGGGGCTACCTTTTACTGTCTGTTGATTAAATCTCAACATGGGATAAATGGATACATTTATCTGCTGTTTGTATACAGTTAGGTGCCATTGGAATTGAAACTCTGCGACTGCTACTGAAGATGGGAATGGAGCGCTTATGGGATTGTCCCAAGTGCTATGATGTTGGTTCTTAACTCATAACTCATACTTGTTTACAGCAGGCATGTCAGACTGGTGTTCCGCAGGTCGCATGCGGCCCTATGCAAGCACATCTGAGGCCCACACAAAAGAAATATTCTGCACTAATTTTTATTAAATAACCCCAATTAATTGTTGTATATGGTGTTCATGGTGACAAAATTTGATCCATATAGCCTCTCAAGGGAGCCTTCAGTTTGTCATGCCTTGTTGACAATTATTCTGTGGAAATATCTGAATTACCAAGAAGTTATTTTGTGCATGAATTTAGTCAGTAGCACATTCAGATCTTCATCTTCTTCTTTGTGTTCACCAGCTGTAAACTCTGGCGGAAAGTTCTGGTTGTTCATCCAGTTTTAGACTGTAGTCCTGTTCCAGAACCTGAGTGTTGCGTGTGCATCCGTTTTACAGATCTGACTCATTTATATGCAGAATGCTGGTTCCTTGCCTCTCAGGCAGATGCACTCCGACTTCGAAGGAAGCTCCCAATTAGTTGACTCTTACTACATGCTTTTGGGTAGACAGTGGGTCTATTCTTTTTTCCCCCTTATAATAGGGCCCTGGAGCCCACACGGAAATGAACCCTCAACACAGTAAATGAAAACAGTTATGGAAATCCATAATGTGCTATGGTATTCATGAGAGAAGAGCTAGAAATTGATGGAAAGCATAAACTAGGCTAAAAAATACAAGGTTATTCAAAATGATGGACACACTTTCATTTATATATGTTTTCTTGCATATTAATAATATACATATAAGGGAGAGAGGAAGGTCTAAAGTTTACAAACTTAAGTTGCGGTTATAAATTTTCAATATGGCTACTGTCTGCTGCTCGGCAAACATCTAAGTGGTAGCCGAACTCATCCCACATGCGAAGAAGCATTTTTAGCGCAACTGAGTTCACTGCAGCTGTGATAAGGTTCTGCAGGTTGGCAACTGCGCTCTGGTGGTAGAATTTGGAACTTTAGACCTTTCCCTCTCTTTTGTTTGTGTTTTATTCATATTGGAAGTAAAAGATAAGAAAGCCTCTTGGCAGCTGTTACCATCAGTGTATGAAGTGTATGGTCTTCATATATTGTAGAACATGGCACCTTGAGAGGAGGTTGACTTGTATTCTAGACCTCTGGCAACTAGTTTTCTTGACCTCTGGCAACTAGTTTTCTTAACCTCTGGCAACTAGTTTTTGTTTTTTTACCTCTGCTAACTAGTTTTCTTAACCTCTGGCAACTAGTTTTCTTAACCTCTGGCAACTAGTTTTCTTAACCTCTGGCAACTAGTTTTCTTAACCTCTGGCAACTAGTTTTCTTAACCTCTGGCAACTAGTTTTCTTGACCTCTGGCAACTAGTTTTCTTAACCTCTGGCAACTAGTTTTTGTTTTTACCTCTGCTAACTAGTTTTCTTGACCTCTGTCAACAAATTTTCTCGATCCACGCCCTCCAAATATTATCTTGACTACCAAACAAAACCCAAATGTTTGCATGTGTTCCTGCAGGAGACACTGAACTTGGAGAGTCTCGGCAGACTTTTGAGCAGAAGATCGCTGACATGACCAGACTGGTGCAGGCACAGTTAGAATGTTACAGAGAAGAGGAAGCTAAACTCAAGGTACTGTGCGTCGTCTTCCTGACTTCCTCTTTAACTGCTTCAGGTGTCGAGGGAGATATAAGGTTAGGTACTGTGTATACTTCAACAAATTCTCAGTCTACTATTTGAGTGTAAGATAAATGGATTATTTAACAGAGGGGTTTCCAACCTTTTTCAGGTCCTGCCCCCTTGAGTATTTAACAAGACCCGCACACTCCTTTGAGTATACTGCAAGACCCCCACTCCCCATTTGAATGTACAGCAGGACCTTTACCCTCCCCCACCCCCAACATTAAAAAAATTTGAGTAAAAAGAGGAGAACAATAGATTCTGCAACAAGTGAAACAGAAAGTGTGGAGATACGTTTTGATCAGAATGTGTTCCTAGTCTGTAATTAAATGCACAAATTATCATATTAATTAGATTTTTAAAGGTAGATGTACAACTGCTCATGAAAACAAATATGTCCTTGTTTTGTTTAGCAACTAGTTTTTAAAATATTTTATTTATAATCAAAGTAAAACAAACTAAGTATAACAGATCGGAGACGACCTGGTTTAACATAATAGCTAGGAACATAGATTAATAAAGGCAGCTCCAGATGATATATTGCCATTAGTCGAAGTTGGTACCTTCCTTCCTTTCTAGAATATAGTGTTATAATGGGCTATGAGACGGCGTGCGACTCATAGTCTGTGGTGATGAGTGTGACTAGCAAGACCTGCCCAGATTAATTCTTTGAGTCCCAAGGAATGCATCATATGTTCATAGGTTCCTACATAGAAGCCCAGTGAATGCAAGATACGCCAATTTTACGTCACTCTTGACCACCCCTTGGGCCTTTGATGCTAAACCTCCTGGGACTCAAAGAGTTAAGAAAAGTTTCCCACAAATACAACATGGGATTTCAGGACAGTTCTTGCATTCACATGTGTTAAGTGTGTTTCTTCTCAGACGCTCTGCTCGCATTCTTTCTGCAATCATTTCTTCTTTGATTCTCATTCCCTTTGTTATTTCCCCCCATCTACACAGCACAGTCCATGGCATTTTGTTCCCATGAATCCATTTCACTACCTGTATCATTCATGTCCTGCTTGCAGTAATTTTTATATCGTAGTAGAGGTCGGCCTCAGCATGTTCTACCCTTCTGTAATTCACCATAAAGGATGTCTGTAAAGACTCTGCCATGCTCCATTCTCCTGATATGACCTAACCACCTAAGCCTTCATACACTGAGCATTGAGAAAACCATTTTAGTACTTTCTCTTTCCAAGGCTTCATTGTTCTTGATCTTGTCTTGCCAGTTAAAATCAGGTATTCTTCTTAGGCATAACATGTGAAACTATTTAGCCATTTCTCCTGGTGCGAATAAGTTGACCAAGTTTCACTGCCTTTAGGGTGTGAAATATTAGATCTTCACATATCATTCAGGGTGTTTCAGAAACATGTTTACATCTTTAAAATATATGCAATATAAGTAAAGTAAAGATCCCTTTTCACGCCTTTAGGCGCATCGGGCATATGGTCAGCATTACGCCGGGCCGTCTTTACTTTCCAAGGACAGACATATCGGTACCCATTTTAGGCTTGGTGAACCTGTGACGCCCCATACCGTGATAAAAATCCATGCAGCCTGCAGTGGGTTTCGATCGCAGTACGTTGGAATTACGAGTCAGATTCGCAACGCCTAAGCCACGGACGCCGCTATATGCAATATATTCCTCTATATTTATAGAAAGAAATTAAGTGAAAGAATTGCTTTTCCGCTGGTCTCATTTCCTTCACCATAATACTGTCATGGGATTACACGGGCTGTTAAAAATGTAGGTTGGCTTCTGGCTTAGGCGTTGCAAGCACGCATCGTAATGCTGCGGTGCCGGGCTCGATCCCTGCTGCAAGCAGTTTTGCAGCAGACCTTCTTGCATTGGTTTCGACAGTGGTTTTGAGAGCCGACTGCTAAGAAAGCAGTGGCAAACTACTGAACATAAAAATTGCCTAGTACAGTCACGAACAGCACAGAAAAATCCTGGGGTTGGTTGTGTAACATCCAGCTGTAAAGGACAGACAACTAACTGGACAGGCTCATGGTGCGTGTGTGAATTAAATGTATTAATAAATTAAGCTGCTAATAATCTGTGGAACTGAGAGAAAAAGAAAAAAGAAAAAAACGAGGGGGTGGGATTATGAAACAGTAGGGGAGGGAAAGGAATCCCAGCAAATTCCATGGATTATATCCAGGGCCGGATTTAGACTAAGCTATATAGCCCTGAGGCACCTACTGTTTTAAATGACATCAGCTAATTTCAGAAAACATTAAAATATAGATGCCTTGTATATAGATAATGGAAATATATTGTTTAATTTTTATTAAGAGTGTGTTTGCAAAAACACTGAAAGTATGTTATATTATCCTCTAAAAAGCATTAAATTACAACTTAAAACATGTTTTTATAAGTTTTAATTATATCTTTAAAAAAAATTGCATTTTAAATATATTAAACTGAAGCTGAATTTGTGAAAGGAAAAAGGAAGAAATTTATTGAGACCCCTACAGATTGTTAGTCCTATAGCTTATTTATTTAGCTGATTCCAAAATTCGGCACTGGTTAGTCCTAAAGCTTATTTATTTAGCTGATTCCAAAATTCGGCACTGGTTAGTCCTAAAGCTTATTTATTTAGCTGATTCCAAAATCCGGCACTGGTTAGTCCTATAGTCTATTTAGCTGATTCCAAAATCCGGCACTGGCTACATCAATGTCATGAGTTCTGTAACAAAATCTGGCACTGGCTATATCATTGTCATGAGTTCTGTAACAAAATCTGGCACTGGCTATATCATTGTCATGAGCTCATGTAAGAAAATCCAGCACTGGCTATATCATTGTTATGAGTTCTGTAACTGTTTACCTGTTCAGTTTATGCATCTTTTCTCTTTAGGAAATTCTGAAATCCGAACAAGACAAAGACACAGAAAAAGACAGATTGGCGGAGATTGAAAAAGAAAAGCAAAAGCAGAAAGAAGAAGATGAAGAGCTAATGAGCATGTTATTTGGAGAGCAGGGTAAACATATGTATTCGTTTCTGTGTGTGAACTATAACTCTGGATTCTGTAACTTGCTTGCTTATTTGGCATGGCCATTGAGTTAACCGTATGTGTTGATTCCTCCCCACCAAATATATGGTTGACACATTCCGTTTCTGGGGACAGCTTTTATCGAGTTTGCTCTCTAGACAGTTGCAGTCCCCTGCTGACGAGATTCTGTCTTCCCGAGTGGACCGCCGCGATCAAAACATTGCGAAGGCAGCGTGGCCGAGGCTGCCAAAACCATCGGTCATTATCCCGCCCCGACACAGCACAACCACAATACATGCTGTTCCCACGAAAAACACATAATATCCTGCGTTGGAAATGCGCATAAAATAACAGTCCATGTTTATGAAACAGAATAATCCGAGAGAATTGACAGCCAGCGAAAATAAACACAGCTGCTGTCCGCCATTTTGAAAACGGAAGTCGCTTGCTTATTTGTTACTGAGTTTTGTTTTTATGTTCTCTAACTGCTGTTTAACAGTGCGGAGGCACAAATAAATCATGACAATCTGAGGAGAATGGTGCTGCGGGGAGTTCCCAGGGGATCTGGTAGATGCGCAACACTCAAGGAAAAGCCGAGATGGATGCACAATCAGTTACTGGTACAAACAGAATTGGAACTCTTTGGTGTCGATTCTTAATTCAACTTCTGTTCTGTCTAGCAGTGATCATGTCTTAACTTTGGTGTAACATACCAAACCTAAAATGGGTACCAGGAAATATGCTGGGCAGTAAAGGTGGCTGGCCTGATGTTGACCAGATCGTCCATGAAATACTGATTAATCTATACAAAAAAATATATAGGTCTAGCACACGCACACACACAAAAAGGGTCTTAACCTTGTCGCCCCGTGAGAAAGTTCAAGAAAATAATTTTTGTATTGCCTGTGTTTCTGGGTAGTGACCACTATGACTACATGAGAGAAAAAAATCACAGCTGTGTGGTCTCAAGGTATGGCATCCGCCTCAGTGCTGAAGGTCCCGGGTTCGAGACCTGGTGAAAACTGGGATTTTTTTCATGTGTACTTCTAGTAATTTCCCCTCGTCTCTGGGTAGTAAGACCAAACGCCCGTGTATATTGTTGCGCACGTAAAAAATCCCTTGGCAGTTGAAATCGAAAGGAAAAGCCTAACGGTGCTGCCCGGACAAAATGTGGAGTTAAAAATCTACCCACAAAGTTTTTCAGGATCCTCGCCAGTGCAACAGAGTTCTTGCACTGCACTGAGATTCTTCAGACTCAGGCTTGAGTTAGAAGTTGAACGGAGCGATTATGGGTTTACACCCGTGTGCCATGATGTTGATCCGTCGACCAAACTAAACTACATAACAGCTTTGGTATTGGTTGCAACAGCATAGCGCAGGGCTATTTAGCTGGCAGCCCACCTGCCAAATGTGGTGTGTGAAGGCCTAGAAAGTGGCCCATGGATCATTGCCAGCTGTATTTATATTAATGATCTTTCAATGCTGGGGCTCATGTCTCTGGTCCGTGACGACTAGTTTTCAAAATTCTGACCCCTGAGTAAACTTAGTTGGAAAGCTCCGGCATAGTATGTCAAGATGGTGAGTATGATTTTATTCACTAAAAAAAAAAAACTGACATATTATTTGTGGTAAAACAAAAAAATAATTGTGTTTATTTACGTTTTTGTGTGTGGTCATTTTGATGGTGGGGGGGGGGGGGGGGGGTAATGGCTTCTTTTTTGTGTGTATGGTCCTTGTGATGTCGTTGACTTTGATCCATATGGCTCTGTCAAAAAAAAAACACTGTTTTAATTATTGAAGGAGATGAAAGCAGTTAAATCTTTGCCCTGTTTGTGTTTAGTGATTATTACCTTACATTTTTTCTCGCAAAAGTGATTACAAAATAAAAATCCTATTTTAAAAGTGACTTCATAGATGCATTGTCACAGTGGTCATCAAGCTTGCCTGTCTGCTCATTGGTCAAAGGTTTCAATCCTCTGGGCCTTTAAAAAACTGACCAAGACTCTAAATTTCTTCTGCTTCATCCAGTTTCTTAGAGAATAGTGTTTCAGAAAATTTACAAGGATGTGTTTCTTTTAAAGACATTTTGGGAAAAGGTCATTTAAAGATCCTTTTGGCATCTGTGGCTTAGGCCTTGCGAACACACTTCCAGAATCGTTATCCATTTCGGGCAGGACTCTCTTGTGTCTGCTTCTCTACCCTCTGCTGCTTGAGGGTTGTCCAATGTTGCTTTCTTTGGGGCTGCCCTGATAAGGGGTTTATCCTGATATGGACTGCTCCAGAATCTTCTGTTGCGTCTTGTCCTCTAAATAATTTTCCATAGGCTGTGGCTGGCAGGCGGTGTCTTAGGTCTGTTTGGGCTGCTTTCGTCGGGGCTGCTGTAGCATGCGGTTGGTGTCCTTGCTTTGGTCTGAATTATCGATTGCGCTCTGGATTTTTTCCCATTTTTCACCAAGGACTTGCTGCTTTCTTTATCATGCTGCGTGGACAGCACATGGTCTCTACAGTACTACCCAAGCTGTGTTCTTTGAAGAAGAACTTTATTCCTGTCCTTAACCTTTTGGCCCCGGGATCACTATAAAATGTATTTATCTACTTTATAGAAATATATAAAGGAGTAATCAGTAAACATGAACGGGATAAAGCATTGAATGGAATACATTCCCGGGGACCTAAAAAAAACACACATGTCATGTGACTGATGTCATGACCTCTGTCACAGATCAATTGTAAGCTAATTTGCCCTGCAGTGTTTCATGAATTTATTTGTTGATGCATTTTGTCTACAGAAGAGCTGATGGTCTCAGATCCTCGATTGCCTTATGTTCAGTATTACAGACAGGCTGAGAGCAGTCTCCAGGCATTTTTGCAAATCAGGTACATGGTATTACAATGGAAATCAAATCACAGATTTTAAACAGTATTTTCATTCCAGCACCGTTAATGTCAAACTTGTATCTTGTTAACATCACACCAAAGACTACTTCTCGTATACCAGGTGAAATGCTTCTCTGAACATGTGAGCTTCATCTAGGGTCCTTATTTAGCTGTGGTGTAGCAGCTAGGCGCTCGCCTGTGGATCGGAAGGTCGTGTCCTTACGGTACCTGAATTTAAAAATTTTTATTTTCATACATGACCCAGCCTTGAATGGGTACCGGATGGAGTCATGGGAAGTAAAGGCGGCCAGCGTGATGCTGACTACATCACCCACTGAGTGCTGATTGGTCTATAAAATATAGGTCTAGCCCTGTATGCCCAATATGGCTGAAGGCATGGAAAGGGTCCACTTTACTTTTATATGGACATTCCCATAACCACACCGTCCCCACTTTCAGCAGCCAGCACAGTTCCATTATGTTGGTACTAGTAGCAGTCTGTAACATATTGCCTTTTCTCTGAGTGTTGAGTGTCACCCAGATCACTCAGTAGCTGCACCATTCTGTTTAGACTGTAATTATCTGTGTTGTGCTTCCGCACGGTTCACCTGCTTCCAAATGGCTGTGACCAAGTCTAGCCTGTCATGCTTCAGTTTATCACCAAGTATCCATGGCAACAACTCCATGTTGTGACCATGTTCTCAGAGTTTGTTTAGGCCCCCCTTAAGGTAAAGACAAAATAGCCACCAAACCCAACTAATGAATGAATTAAATATTCTCTGTAAATATATATCAGTGTAACCAATTTTGTTCTTGTCCTTTCAACACTATAATTCAACTCATTCACTACCAGTCATATCACCATGCTTCTTCTGTGTTCATTTGAAGATGTAATTGCATTGTGCCCGTTTACAGCATGGCTGCGATATTTTCACCTTCCGGCCGACACATCCGCATTCTGCAGGCAAATATTGACCGGGTTAGCCTTCCCGGTTAGTTTCGCGGGACACTCTAGTCTCATTGTTGTGGGTCATCTTTGTTTTCCAGGTCACGGGTGGTGCCCCAAATGGGGCCGGTCCGGAGAAACCACATAATGCTGGTCATCCCTCAGAAGAAGGCAGGGACAGAACATGAGCATTTTCCGCCATCCAAGGAAGCTTCCAAAAATGCCGAGCCAAGACATGCTGCTCTGGTACTGGGTGCACCCAAGGAATCGTCATGTCCTGCTCATGACGGTTTAACCTCACTTCCATATATTGAACATCTCTTTCATCACAGGCTGTCTTTAGAAGCCAGCATACCATTATATATTCATAATATAGATATTTACTGATTTTTCTTATCTCCTTCTTCTAAGCGTTTGCTGGCTGTAAACTTCTAGTTTTTCGTTCAATTCTGGACTTTTATCTTGTTTCCGAGCTTTGAGTTTTGCCTACTCATCAGCTTTACAGATCTGACTCAATTGTATTCAAACTGCTGGTTCCATGCCACTCAGGCAGATGCACTCGGACTATGAAGAAACACCCATATTTAGTCACCTTTTACGACATGCTTGTTGGGGGGGGGGGGGAAGGGAAAGCCGTAACCCCCCTCTAGGGTAGTCCTGCAACCCACATGGGGAATCTAGAATCTAACAAGAAGTGTACTGTAGGTCACACAAGTTTAAGAATTTATGGTTTGGTAAATCTTCTGATTTCATCCAAAAGAAACCCCACTAACGAAAGTTCATGAGAGAGGTCAGAGGTGTTGGACTGGACTTCATCCATGATATTGAAGAGATTGCAGAATGGAGGAATAGACTTGATAGAATATGTGACATGTAATGGCACAACAGGACAGTAATGATGCTGATGATGAAGTCTTCTGATTGCTGTCTCTTCTTTCATTGTGTGTGCATTCATCACTTGTAAATATTACTGTGCTCTTTTTATCGCTTAAGCGTTTCTCCGTAAAGCGATAGTAAAAAAACATTTAAAGAACCTCTTTCCCCACCTAGTGTTTACCCCATATTTTCATAGACCAGTTAGCATTTTGATTCTTCTTCTTTCGTTCGCATGAAATAAATTGTCTATATCTGCAAAGCCGTCTCTTGTATGAATTTCACTGTCTTTTGTAATTCACTAAGCGGCCCGTAAAGTTTGACTTCCACAAGTGTCTCTTTTGGCCAAATGTTTTGCCTGAAAGCGTTGAATATGGGACAGTCTTGAAGGATGTGATCTGTTGTTTCAGGTGCCAGTCCACAAGTACACATGGCCGATTGGCCAATCTTAAATTTGTTGTACATGTGGGAGCGAAGTCTATTGTGCCCTGTTCTAAGGCGAAGGATAATAACTTGCTCTGGTCTGTCCATAATATGGTAATCATCTTGTGCCAGTTTCGGTGGCATTCTGATTGATTTGATCATTCTCTTCTTCTGTTGATAAGAGACTGGTATGTCAGGTTGTTCTTCAGTTGCACCTTCCTTAGCTAGTTTATCAGCTTTTTCGTTTCCGGGAACTCCACAGTGGGAAGGTATCCACTGCATTACTAATTTACAGCGGTGCCTAGTTCGGATAATAGTGTCCGTATGCTTGGTAATTTTCCAGACTGGAGTGACTGAAGTACTGCTTTTGCATCTGTCAGGAATACCACTGGTTGTGAAAAATACCCTGTATTTAGTAGTTTCTCTACCGCTATCTTGATGGCTTGAACTTCTGCATCATAGTTGTGACAGTGCTTTCCCGTTGGTAATTTGGCTGTATCCCTGGTATTATTAGGATACTCAATGTACACTCCCGCACCTCCGTTTCTGACTGCGCTTTCTGCCGACACATCTGTGTAAACACGGACCCAAAGGTTCTGCGGGTATTCATCATCAAGTAAACTGAGGGTGGCTGTTTTGCGCTGCACACTGTTTTGTTCTTCCTTATCAAATACCCCTTTCACTTCAGTCTTGATGTGTATTGGAAACTTATACTCCTCTCTCCAGGGGGTCCGTTCTGGGACAGCATTTAAGGATCTATCAGTTGCAGGTAAATCAGTGGTTTGTCTGCCGAGCCGTTTGGCCTGGTGGATAAAACTACTTCTCTTAGTCGTCCCAAAGCTAAATTTTGGAATCTTTCATTCATAGGGTGACTGGGCATACTAAGAAACTTTTCTGCTTGTAGAAGCATCTTGGTGTCTCTGCGTTCACTTAGTGCTTGGGTCATCCCCATTTTCTCCATCACAGCTATAGGTGTTGATTTCATACTGCCTGTGGTAACTCTGAGTGCTTGATTTTGCACTTTGTCTAATTCTTGCAATGTGGTTTTTGATGCCGAACTCCATGCTGTTGATCCGTATTCAAGATGTGGTCAAACACTTTGTTGGTAAACTTTTCTAAGTATTTTCCCGCTAGCACCCCATGTGGTTCCACTTAGTTTTCTCAGAATGGCTACCCTCCTTCTGGCTTTGGTTGCTGCCTTGTTGATGTGTTTTCTCCATGTTAATCTATCATCAAACGTTACGCCGAGGTATGTGGGCTCCTTATCCTCTCTCAGGGGTACTCCATTTATGTGCATGGCGCCTGATTTTTGTTTAGGAGAAAGGGTAAAGAGAGTGGTGCTGCATTTGCCCATGTTGATGCTGACACACCATTTGTCGGCCCATTTAGCCATTGCATCTATGGCTCTTTGTAGCAGTCTGGTGGCCACTGTCACATTTTCATTTGTACACCAGAGTACCAAGTCATCAGCATACATTGCAGCTTTAATTCCATGGGGTAGTTCAGAAAGCAGGTCGTTGATACAGACTAGGAAGAGTGTGGGGGACAGGACACCTCCTTGTGGGACGCCATGGCGCAGCAAAACTTTCTTGCTCTTAAGTCCATCTATCTGTACTCGGGATCTTCTGTTATACAAGTATGCTTTGACCAATTTGTACATACTCCCATTCACCCTGCAGTCTCTCAGTTTCTTCAGTAGACCTTCTTTCCAGACCTTGTCAAAGGCTTTCTTCAGATCTATCCATGCCGTTAGCACTAGCTTCTTTTCCTGGAAGGCATCCTCAATTTCTTGTGAAAGGTAAGTTGTCTGGTCTTCTGTGGAGTAGCACTGTCTAATCCTGCCTGCTGCGGCGTGAAAATGTTTTCACTTTCCAAGTACCATTGGAGTCTAAGGTTGACAATACGTTCCATTGTTTTACAGAGGCAGCTGGTAAGACTGATCGGTCTATAGCTGGAGGCATCAGAACTGTCCTTTCCTGGTTTAAGCAGAGGTATTGTGATTGCTTCTCTCCATATTTGAGGAACTTTGCCACTGGTCCAACAATGATTAAAGATCTGTAGCAGCTTTATTTTGGCAGTTGTTCCAAGGTTCTTGATCATTTCGTTGGTGATTCCATCAGTTCCAGGTGATTTTCCCATTCTCAGCTTTGATATTGCTAATTCTAACTCGCTGGATGTAAATGCTGCCACCAGTGCCTCAGGAATTATATCTTTTTGGCGTGTATGTTGTTTGTTTTCTTGAACCTCTCGCTGTTTCTCTGGGCTGACATTAATGTTGCTGTCTTCTGCAAAGGAATCTGCAAAGTGGTCAGCTGCCTGTTTTCTTGTTAGGATGGCTCCCTCTTTGCACAGTGCAATATAACCATTTCTCCCTGTATTCTCATCATTAATTTGCTTAATTAACCTCCACAACTTCCTTGTGTCTCTTTCAAAGTTTAGGGACTTTGTCTTTTCCTGCCAGCTTCTCCGTCTAGCCTGCAGTTTGGCTCTTTGAAATTTGGCCTTTGAATGTTGGTAGTTGTTAAACTGCTCTTGACAAGGTGTGGTCTCAGCCTGTTTTGATGAGGTCAAGATCTTGCTGACTGTTTTTACTTCCCAGTACATTTTTGGGGGGTCTGCCTGAGAATCATTAAATTTTACATAAGCTCAACGCTACTGTGCGTTGCAGAAACCTGGACAGTGAACAGGCAACTAGAATCAGTACTGCTGTACGGTGCAGAAACCTGGACAATGGACTAGCATCTAGAATCAATGCTACTGTATGCTGCAGAAACCTGGACAATGAACAAGCATCTAGAATCAACTAGAATTAGCTTGTATGGTGCAGAAACCTGGACAGTGAACAGGCAACTAGAATCAACTCTACTGTATGCTGTAGAAACCTGGACAATGAACAGGCATCTAGAATTAGCTTGTATGCTGCAGAAACCTGGACAATAAACACATCTAGAATCAGTGCTGCTGTATGGTGCAGAAACCTGGACAGTGAACAAGCTACTAGAATCAGCACTACTGCAGAGTATAATGAAGATCCATTGCAGCCAGATTTCATTGTGGAGATGGCATCTGATTGAAGGATTTGGCTGTGATGACCTGTGAAGTCGGGTTATTTACACCCCCCCCCCCCCCTTTCTCTCCTCTGGGATATGAACCTATAATCACTGGTCTATCGGGGAAGCATGCTAACCACCATGCTAATGTTACTCCCAGTAATAAATAATCTCACATATTTCTCATCCTCAGACATGAATGGGATTCCTTCTTAGTGCCAGAGACTGCCCCAGCGTCCAGTGCCATCCCAAGCTCATGGGTTTTCCCGGAACCTCCGAGCAGCACGATATGGGCAACAGCTCTGAAATAGGCTTCACTGTTGCTAGAATTAGGAAATGTTTTTCAATAAAGCAGTGTTTTGTGAATCTTTGACCACTATTGTTAAATTTGTGAATGCTGTAATTGTTATTTTAGTTCATCATTTTCCACTTTTGCTGTTATGTGTTGCGGGGAGGAACAGTTTGCAATCTATTGCTTGATGGGTGGATATGGCTATTCATTCTTTGTTGATGTAGAGTAGAACAGTGGTCTCCAACCTCTTCTTTCAAGCCATGCCCCCTGAGTATATGGCAGTACCCCCACACCGCTTGAGTGTATGGCAGTACCTCCATGACCCCCCCCCCCCCGAGTATATGGCAGTACCCCCTCCCCACCTGAGTATATGGCAGTGCTCCCACGCCCCCCTTGAGCGTATGGCAGAACCACCCCCTCTTGAGTATATGGCAGTGCTTCTACGCCCCCTTGAGCGTATGGCAGTACACCCCCTCTTGAGTATGGTAGTGCTATCACGCCCCCCCCCCCCTTAAGCGTATGTCAGTACCACCCCCTCTTGAGTATATGGCAGTGCTCCCACACCCCCCTTGATCGTATGTCTTTACCACCCCCTCTTGAGTATATGGCAGTGCTCCCACGCCCCCCTTGAGCGTATGGCAGAACCACCCCCTCTTGAGTATGGCAGTGCTTCTACGCCCCCTTGAGCGTATGGCAGTACACCCCCTCTTGAGTATGGTAGTGCTATCACGCCCCCCCCCCCCTTAAGCGTATGTCAGTACCACCCCCTCTTGAGTATATGGCAGTGCTCCACACCCCCCCCCCCCCTTGATCGTATGTCTTTACCACCACCTCTTGAGTATATGGCAGTGCTCCCACGCCCCCTTGAGCGTATGTCAGTACCACCCCTTCTTGAGTATATGGCAGTACTCCCCCTCCCCAGTATATTGCAAGATATCTCAACCCCGCAAAAAAAAAATTTGATTAGGACAGTAGATCAGGCAGTATGGAGATATGTTTTGGTCAAAGTGTGTTATTAATCTATAATTAAATGCCTGTTATATTAATTAGATTTTAGCTGACGATATAGAAATTGCTCACGAAAAGAAAAAAAATGCCCTTGGCTTTGTTTTATAAATAGTTTAAAAAATATGTTATTATAAAAACCTTAAAAATTACATAATGGATTATTACAAATAAAATGCAATCAGTTTCAAAATTACTTGATGTCCCTCTTGAAACCTCTTCGCACCCCTCAGGTTGGAGACCACTGATGTAGAAGCTTTTTAATATCATCAATCCATGTTCTCCTAGGGTGACCTTCTTGCGACCTCATCAGAAATGTTCATGTGTAGCACCTGCGTTGGTTGTTTTTCTGCTGCATTGTAATGAGAGTAGCAAAACTGACCTTCTGTTTCTCAAAAAGATTATTTCTTTTGAAGGGTTTTCCTCTGGGAATTCCCATGGGTTTATGACCCATTTTTAGAAACCATCTTTGGGGCAAAATAGTTAAAATGAATGTGAATAAGCAAACAACACAGCAATGTTAACTTAGAACCATTATGTTTTAATATTTAGATTTATTTACCTAAACATACCAAACATAGTATTTGGCGAACAATGGAAAGAACTAGGTTAATATTTTTTTTATAAACACTTCGTATCTGTGTTAATCTAGGCTCAATACAAAAGTTATAACAGTAAACATATAACATGAAACTTGTATATTGCTTCACAAATTAATTGTATACATAAAAGTTTGCAGTGATTATAAATTTACAATAGGTTTTCATCCCTAATTTTTTGACAGAATAGAAGCCTTAAAACCTACACTTTCTTATTTTTAACAAATAAATTTCTTAACACAAATAACTTGCAAACTTTCTATTCTTTGCCCTTATCTGAGACATATTATCAGCTACCAAAGAGATTAGAGAAAATATGTGAAATCATTAGAAACCGATAGTTCTTGTAACTCTAAGCTGTTGTTAGGGTTTGAATCAGGTAACTTCTCAACTAAATGAAACATCATTGTCACTTAATTCTTTTCTTAATTGTGCACTTTGTAAAAGTCTTCTTTCTGTTTAGTTGTCAGTATTACAGGGTCACGTCCAAAGTCATGGTTTCCTGTATTTGTCTTGCACTTCTCAAGCGGCTTGACTGACTTTGTTCATCTTTATGTGAGTTCTATTCCTTCCGCCTAGATATTCTGCCGCAGAAGGTCTTATTTAGTTTGGTCCAGCTGCGTTCTTACTAGATGGCCACAACACTTTATTCTCTATCAATGTAATTCAGGTATGGTCTTGCACCAACTTTCTGTCCAATGTGAGAATGCATGACCCGGTGCCTTCCTGTTTTTGTTGTTGATCTTTCAGAGATGGTGCACTTTGCACCTAGTTATTGATGTTCAGGTACATAATATAAACAAATGTATTTGTGCACTGGTGTAATCATACAGACACATACATTATAAGCTCATCATGTTAATAACATACTATAATACTGTACACAAATTAATCAAGCATATTCTACATAATCTGGTTAACACTCGTAACAGGGGTAGCAGAAAAATGAAACTGTCATTGACTTTAAAACTTATGGCACCCAACAGTGTAACTGATGCAAGAAATTAAACTGCAGATATAAGCTAACTGCAAGTGATAGAAAAAAGAGAAGCAATACTGATGTTGGAACAAGTGCGGCAATGGTATTATTTCAAAAACAACTTTCCTTCAGTATCTGAGGTTTTAATAATTTATCACTTGCAACTGACTTTGACTTTAATATTTCACAAATATATCGCTTGAAGCTGTAATTATCTCGAGGGTATACCTCTAACTACATAAGATTTATCACTTGCAACTGTAATTATTCCAAGGATATAACTCTGTCTACATTATGTACTATTTCAAAAGTATATCACTTGCAACAGTAATTATATCAAGGACACACCTATGATTACAACAGCCATTATTCCAAAGACATATCTCTCACTTTCAGCTTGAATTATACAAAGGATATATTCTGGTTTTGTAAGGTATATTTCAAAGATATGCACTAACTACACTTTTTTTGTGCGTTTTAAAATGAAGCAGTGCATGTTACTTGTGTGAAAGTAGGAAGTTTATGCTTTCTTTCTACATTGCAGTTATTGTGCAAAACTGGCAACTTGCACAATCTTCTGGACTGAAGAGTTAAAGAGATACCAAGGGCTACATTAGATGTTTCAGTGATGTGTAGGGCTTTTACTAAATGTCACTGTACACCACAGATGGGGTGATACCAAGGGCTACATTAGATGTTTCAGTGATGTGTAGGGCTTTTACTAAATGTCACTGTACACCACAGATGGGGTGATACCAGGGGCTGCATTAGATGTTTCAGTGATGTGTAGGGCTTTTACTAAATGTCACTGTACACCACAGATAGGGTGAAACCAAGGGCTATTACTAAATGTCACTGTACACCACAGATGGGGTGATACCAAGGTCTATTACTAAATGCCATTCTACACCACAGATGGATCTGACACTTGCCTAAAGGAACGGAAGACTAATATTTACACACTGATAATATTTCAGAACTGTACATGGCGGTCTGTAACTGTGTTGCCCATCAACTCATGCTGGAAACATTAAATCATTGGAGAACAATCATGCCATTGATACAGCATGATAAATAATTTGATATGTATTGACTGCCGCAAATAAATTGTGGGAAGGAAAAAAAAAGAGAAACAGAAGGTCTTGCCAGACATGCAACAATAAAAGGTTCTAGCATACCATGATTGGAACATGTCGCCTCCAAATGATGGCACCTCACTGTAGGGATAAGTGTACCCTGACACACAACCAGCTAGACACCCCCAAAATAATGACATCATTACCAGCACAATTCTTCTTGCAACAATGTGCTGTCATTATTTGAAGGCGACAGGTTTTAATCCTCGTATGGTAACTATAGCTTTCAAAATTTTCATTATCTATCATGTCCTTCTGTCTCTACTACTTTAATCCTTAACTATAAATGCCAATCAATACATGTCAAACTGTTTACTTTGCTGGACACATGTTAGGGTAACATGATAATGCCTTGCGAACTTCACGTCATCAGTGAACAAGACCTGTACAATGTTAGTTTCACGGACATTTCTCAGGAACACTTCAACAGGCGAATATGTCCATTATGACTATGATGTTTTCACATGTCCAGATGTGGCTATTTCCAACAAGGTTTTGGACTTTAGTTGGGGAATTGTAGCAATCTTCATGAACTTTGAACCTGAGTACTTGGTCTTCACTGCCTATTAAAGGAAATAACAAATTTAATAAAGTATTCATGCATTATGCACAACAATCAACATTTCTGCTTTAAAAAAAAATGGACCTTTTCATTCTTCTTCTATATTTGCCCTTAAAAGGATGGCTGCCACATTGTGTTTTGGTTTACAACTAGGCTGTGGCGTGCCTTTAAGCCCTACACATCTGATTTCAACGAATCCTCTATTAGTCACCTTTTTATGACATGCTTCTTAAAAAGGTAGTATGTTTTACTTTTTATTAAAAAGGGATAATGATTGCAAAGTGAACAATTACAACAAAGCTGCAATATTTATACATTCCAAATCCCAATTCAGCACAGTTTTTAAAGATAGAGGAGTTGTCTTCCTTCTTCAATGCCTACACTAGTAATTTCCAAAGTGTGCGCCGCGGCCCCACGTGGGAGCAGCGAAGATACACTAGTTGTTTTTTTTTAAACCTCTTACATACGAATAGTCATACTTTTACTTGAGTTAGGGCGCTGTGGACAATTTTTATTTAAAAAAAGACGCTACGACTAAGAAAGGTTTGGGAAGCACTGGCCTACACTATTTGTCAGACTACGGTGATGCAGCCTTTCATCAGGATCACTAAATGTGAGTCAATGTTTTATTAAATCATCTTTCACTCATCAACCCTGCCACTAACACTCAAGCTATAAGTTACTGCAATAAAACCTCATTAACATGAACTTGCTTAGGACAAACCCTTAGTTAAGGTCAATAAAATGTTCAGGAATGTTTTATTCATAATACATCTTTTGGTCCCCGCTTAGCACAAATGTTATAAACATATATTCTTGATTTTTTTGGGGGGGTCTTCAAATTTGTGTTAATGAACTTTTACTGTAATTGCATTCAACTCGTTTGTCTCATCTTCACCACCTGTATCTCTAGCTTTGTACTTTCCTCATTACGTCAACAGTAATGAAGTTCACATAATCAACATTCAGGTAGGGCAATACAAAGTTAGTTATATTACTGAAACCTTAAACAATGTTTCCTACCACCCTTGTGTTACGGTGGCCAATGAAAAGTTTAACTGATTTTTTTAAAACTTACTGTAAGTTTACTTGATTCACTATTTAAGACTACATTTTTTTTAATGTGATATTAATTATGAAGACTTTATTGTAAGTTCACATGATTCAGTAATATGTAAAACTTACTGTAAGTTTACTTGATTCACTATTTAAGACTACATTTTTGTAATGTGATATTAATTATGAAGACTTTACTGTAAGTTCACATGATTCAGTAATATGTAAAACTTACTGTAAGTTTACTCGATTCAGCTTTCACCACAAGCTGTGCCAGTTTCTGGACCACAGGAAGCAGCTCATCATCTGAGTAAAAGCTGTAGAACTGCAGTGTTGGGGTCTGCAACAACAAAAAAGTGTTTTTTTTTTATGCGATACCCTCTAAAAAAAATTTACACATAAAAACTCAACATTTCATATGTAAAAGTAAGAGATGGTCATCATTTTTTTTCGGGTCATGTTTTTATCCATTCTCAGGACTTTTGAACAGATGCACCATGAAACAAACTGAAGCCTCATCAAATAATATTCCTAAAGACAGAAGTGGAGGCACTGCAGCCAAACTCTTACTGTTGAAATAGTATTTACACACACAAACTAAAGACCAATCAGCACTAAATTATCTGATCTGACCACATTTCTTCTGTGGGTTCTGGGGCCCCACACACACACACAAACTAAAGACCAATCAGCACTAAATTATCTGATCTGAACACATTTCTTCTGTGGGTTCTGGGGCCCCACACACACACAACAAGAATGACGTAAAGTAGACTAATCAAAAGTATTTCCATCTAAGTCGGAGTGCATCTGCGAGGAGAGGCGAGGAACCATCTGCATACAAATATAAGCCAGATCAGTGAACTGGATGTGCCCACAAATATCAAAGTTCTGGAACGACACTCAAGTTTAGAAGTGGGTGAACAACTAGAACTTTCTGCCAGTGTTTGCACTTGGTGAACTACAAGATGAAAGAATAAAACGAACACCACACCGACGACTCTCCTTACATCACAGAAAACGTTCTCATACCTATGTTTAGGCAGGATAAACTAAGAATCCAGGTCATTAAGAAAGAAATATGCATTGACGGGGATTCAATCTCCTAAGACAGTGGTTTCCAACCCTTTTTCGAGATTGGAACCCATTTTATGGAGGCAAAACGACCCGTGATCCCAATTTATAAGAATAATAGGTTTTTTTTTTTAAAAAAGTAAATGGAAACGCGACGAAAATAAATTTTCTGTGCAAGACAAGATGACGTGATTTTTGTCAAAACTTACCACTGCCCGACGTCCCCGAAGAAAACCTTTCATGATCTCAAATGGGGTCGTGACCTATGGGTTGGGAACCTGTGCCTAAAGGTCACCACAAACTAGCCACAGCTCTCTTTAACATTTGGTGCTTAACTCTTTTGGTGCCAGACAGGTCTTACCTAAACATGTTCTATTCTAAGAAGTTGTACTTTAAGGTATTAAATTTTTATGTCCAAAGTAGTTACACAAGAGACAGTGTGAGGCAGAATTACACTGACAACCGGGATACAGTGAACTAATGTGGCAGTTATTTGTTACAGAAGAAAGTCATAAGAGTTGCTCGGTATCTAGAGAGTTAAAATAAAGCAGAGCCAATCGACTGGTGGCCCGCAGATGCCTCTAGCAAATGGCCTGCGGATTACTGCCAGTTGTTTTGTATTAATGATCTTTCTATGCTCGGGCTCTGGCCTCTGACGATCTCCATTTTCAAAATGTGGGCCCTTTAGTAAACTTAGCTGAATAGCCCTGACATACAGTGTATCTATACAAAATGTGGCAGCTAAATGTACAAGAAAATATGTAACTACTTTCAGGTGTGAGACAAGCAGAACATGATAAATCAAGTTACGGAGCAGTATTTCCTATTTGGTGGTCACAGAGCAAATTTAAAGGATCCAAATATTTACACACATAAAACAACACTTCAACTTTATAAAGTAATTATTTTCCTGATTCTAATAATAAATTATAAAAAGTTCTGAAATATGATAATTTAAAAAAAGTATGAGGTTAGTGGCAGACATTCACAGGTCTAAGTTAAATAGGAACCACAGCTATAAAGAATTTACTGTCAATAAATGACAAATACATAAAAACAAAACCAAGAAAGACTTTGCTACAGCATAAACATCACGCAGAGAAATCAATCAGGTGCTGTCTCCACAATGAGTTGCAAAGAATTTTTAACATCTCTCATACTGGTTGCAATGAGAGTTGCATCTGAAAGTGTTCTTTTTTTCCTTTCACCCCAAGATGCTGATAACCTGGTTATAGCTGCCCACTTCAAATCCATGTAAGGCCTTTTTATTCCTTTCACCCCCAGATGCTGATAACCCGGTTATAGCTGCCCACTACAAATCCCTGTAAGGCCTTCTTATTCCTTTCACCCTCAGATGCTGATAACCCGGCATAGCCGCCCACTTCAAATCCCTGTAAGGCCTTTTTATTCCTTTCACCCCAAGATGCTGATAACCCGGTTATAGCTGCCCACTACAAATACCTGTAAGGCCTTTTTATTCCTTTCACCCCAAAATGCTGATAACCCGGTTATAGCTGCCCACTTCAAATCCCTGTAAGGCCTTTTTATTCCTTTCACCCCAAAATGCTGATAACCCGGTTATAGCTGCCCACTACAAATCCCTGTAAGGCCACTAAACTGACACAGCTGTGTTGGCCTTACCTCAGTAAGTCTACTAGGTTCTGCCTGCATCTGCACAATGTTTTGCAGGACTGGATATGATTATACGTACTAACAGTAACATTTAGGAGCTGTTTTACTGTCGGCGTCTGTGGCTTAGGCTTCGGGAACGCGCTTCGTAATGCCGGGTTCGATCTCAGCTGCCGACCTTCCGTCCTGCGCTGGTTTCAACAGTGGTATATAGAAGCCAACTGTCCAGAAAGCAACGGCAAACTACTGGACATTTATTAGTCTAGAAAAACCACAACCAAAAAAATGCTGGGGTTGGTTCTGCAATCTACTGTAAAGGATACACAACTAACTTTACTGTGTGGCCAAAAAAAAAAAAAAACTTTCAGCCATAATGGATATAATAATTTGTCTTAGCAATGGCATAGTGACAGGGTCAAGGAAGAGCTACCATATAAATTCTTTTTAAATACAAATTTATTTCTGACTTGTGTAAAACATGTAAACCCCCCCCCACCCCCCCCCCCCCCCCCCATGTGTTTGTAAATTCCTGAGTTTATTGCACTTTTTCTTTGAGGGTTTCTGAGCCGAAAGGGTTAGCATGTAGGAAAACATACCCATTCTGAGCCATCTAGCACAAGCATGGCCAAGTATAAAGCTGCAGCAGCAATGTAGGACGGCCTTAAATGTGCCATGTCATACTCCACCATGGCTAGCTCCATCATATACTTTGCCAGTGTATGTTTTGTGGCATCAACCTGCAAGCAACCATGACACCTTATACAATATGAGATGCTGTCAGGAAGAATGTGGGATAGAGAGGAACAAGCACCAAAGTAAACATCTCAGTAAAACACATCATCATCACTACCTTGCTGTGTCGTTACGTGTCACATAAGTTTGACCTCTCGCAACATTTATCTTAGGGTTTCTCCTGAATGTCCTCGTTTCTTCAATCAATTTATTTCTCATTTAAATGCCTGTTTAGTGATTCTATGTCTGCTTCTTCTCACTATGTGCCCAATATCTTTTTTTTTTTTTTTAAATAACTGTTGATACACAAGCAGTGCGAAATATTTCTCTTATTTCTTTGCTTCCTTGAATGCATCTCATATCATGTTCAACACTTTTTTTAACGCAGTTGTTTAAAACTGCATTTAACTTTAATTTAGTGTACTTTAATCTAGTGTCTTCAGAGGTTCTCAAACTTTCACTGACATATGCTAAAACTGATATAATATTAGAATTGAAAATACCTTAAAGTACAAAGGAACAATGAATGAAATAAGAGTGATTGAAGAAAAAACCCACATACAAACAGGGATGGAAACTAGTAAAAGCCATGAATAAAAAAGGAGGAGCCAGTAACGAGGAACAATTTTAAAAGTAAAGGCTTCAGAAGTCCTAACAGAATATTACATATATTGCAAACTACATTGATGTCATTATAGAATACAAAAACAGCTACCAAAGATGGACAGACATGTCATAGCAATACAAAATAAACAGCAGAATACAGGATGCTACATTTTAAAATGGAACAGATGTAACAAGCAGTGGTACCTCACTAAATAGAAACAACCATGAAAGAATGAAATTACAAAATAAATATCAATAGGACTGGACACAAAACAAAAATGACACTACTAGAGTCATAAACTGCAGCTGAAAATGAGAAACAGTCCCATAGGAATTAAAGTAATTTATATTAACATCGATCCAGTCATAAGGATAAGACCTGATGGAATTAAATGGCAATAGATTTATCAGTCTTTTAACTGGTGTAGGAATGTTTTACAAATAGCAGGAAAACAATCTGTGACCACACATAAGCAGTATTTAGAAAGTTCAGGCCCGCGAAGAAAAAAAAAACCAGGATATATTACAAGGTCCAGGATGCAGTGAGAGAGAAAAAAAAACATACTAAAGATCGTGGTAGATTTAGAAAATATATTTGATAAAGTATGGAAGAAAGATGTCAAGTATTAGACCTTCAGATATTCTAGACCAAAACATGAGGTGGAATGGATAGTTTCCTTCCCAGAAAACTGTCACGTACCCCATTCGCATGAAACTGGGTCAGCCCAAAAACAAAACTGGTTGCAAAGATTTCTGCCAATTTGTGGACTGTAATTCACTGTTTTAGCAGATAAGTACTCCATATTAGCGAATATTCTTCTTCGTGTTCACCGGCTGTAAATTCCATCGGAAAATTCTGATTGTTTGTCCACTTCTGGACCTTGATCTTGTTCCAAAACTTGAGTTTTGCGTGCACATCCGTATTACAGATCTGGCTTATCTGTATGCAGACTGTTTGTTGATTCCTTACATCTCAGGCAGATGCACTCCGACTTAGAAGAAAACACCCCTAATTAGATGCCTTTTACAACATGCTTGTTATGAGGGCAGTGGGTCAATTCTTTCCTCACAAAAATGGAGCCCTCGGAATCCACAAATGGAGAAACAAATATTCTATATGCTAACAGTGTTTACCTGTCCAGCTTTAGAATTTCGCCGCAGAAAATTAAGGCACAGTGGTCGGCCAAAACTGAAATCAAGTGTGCGAAGGATGTCCTGTTCCATGTCTCGAACATCTTTTTTCGTGTATGCGTTGTCAGTTATGTAAACAAAGTCAGCAACTTCTGGAGCATACATTTCTTCATATTTGCTAGCAAGCAACATTGCTGTCACTCCAACCAATTGTAATTTTGTTCTGCTGCAAGGTTTAGCCTACAAACAGAAACACAATCATTTTAACAGTCTTGTGTATGAGTTTAATCAAGATAGATCAATCAACAGAATGAATCTCAACAGACACAAAAAAATCACTCACTCTTTGTTTTGAGTAAATGTCAAAAATAAATGGCTGAGATAAGACCCACTTCTCTCACGTAAAGACCCAGGAGTAATTTATCCAACATAAAATATATGCTTCTGTCCACATTTTCTATGGTTCTCAGGGAAAGTAAAGAATAACAAGTAACACTGTAATCTACTAAATATGTTAGGGAGCTTATCTACCTTCCTTTAAAAAAAGATGTAAAATATCCCAGCCAGTGAAGACGTAGGGATGACCTTATCCTAGAAGAATAACTGAATGAATGAATCAATCAACCTATCAAGAGTTGACACCACTTCATTCGAGAGATTCCCACATGTGACCTGTTTTATTCCTCAGCAGCCAATAGAGAGTTCTTTTGCTAAGAGTGCCAGTTACACCATGATTAAAAGTCTGTCTATTGTTTTCTCCCTCAGCATTGTTAATAATGGAAGAATTATTAAGCAAATTTTAAAAAATCGAAAAAGAGCCACCTTTCAAACAAGGGAATCTGCAGAATTAGCAACACACAAGACATGCTGGGAGCTGCAGGAAATGGCAAAAGACATGGCAACAGCATCTGCTGGTTGACAGCCTATGCTCCAATGGAGAATGAAGGTCAGAATAAGAAGTTAAAAACCCTGGTCTGTATACTCTATGGTCACTGCCTGGGCAAGAAGTCTATAAGCCTCAGCCCTCAACAAAATCAACCCATAATAGGCAAGCAGTCATATAACATGCCATAACAATTATCTATATCTTCTTCTCCTGCGTTGACCCTTACAAGGGTAATTGGCATGCTGTGTTGTGTTTTACAGCTAGGCTGTGATATCTGTGCCTTCTGGCTCAAAAAATTCAATTTCAGAAAAACCCTGATTAGTTTACGCTTACCACATGCCTGTTGGGGGCAGTGAATCTACACCCCATCCCTTTCCAGCACTGGAAGATTATCTATTTGAATAAAGAGATCTGTCCACAAACAATTAAAACTTGACCAACAAAACCCTTGTTAGTTCGAGGGCCCTATTGCATTCTTTGGGGAGAAAACAGACCCACTGCCCTTCAACAAGTATGTCCTAAAAGATCACTAATTAATGATCCGCTGAAATTGGATGTGATGAGGAAAGGCCAGATGCAGCAGCCCAGCTGTAAGCAACAACACAGCATGTGAACTGCTCTTTCAAGGGAAAAATAAGGTAACAAACCTATGCGGTGACTTACCTGCAAATACCTGTCAATGATGGAAACAGTCAGGTACATTGTCTCCTGCAGTAAATGAAACCTGTTGTGTACCTGGCAAAGCCAGTCAATCAAGATGGCTCTCATTTTGCCTGTAATATCTGAACCATCCAGCAAGTTCTGTCTGATGCTGTATTTTTTCTGGAAGAAATTTTAACAATCCTTTCAGCCCCAAGAGAGCTTTACTTTAGCTACCTCTACATTTGAAGAAGCTATGTTAATTAATAAGGGTATCAGGATTATGAAATTAACAATAATTACAGTAGTAGTAGTACTTTTACCCCACCAGGACATGACACAAGTGATAAACACCAGATTACACAAAATGCCACCATGTGGATGAGGATCACCCATGGAGAGGTCACAGAAACTGCGTTCAGCCATTAGGCCATATTACGGCCAGGGCAGAGCTTCAAAATAAAGAAAAAAATTCCATCCCACAAGATGATCGCTAAGGTTGATTAATAAACTCTATGCAGGAAAGTAACAGAAAGAATCATTACAGCTTGATAAAAGAGGTTAACAGTAACAATTAAGACACAATCTGTTGGTGGAACAACTGGACTGGGCACAAAACGTTAATTTATAAACAGAAACAGATGAAACAGAATAAGCTGCTTGGTACTGAATGAGTTAATAAAGTGCAAAATACACATAGATGGATCTCATTAACAAACTTTGAATCACGTCATAAACAGAGATAGTGGGGAACGAATTAAGAATTTCAGTAAACAAATATCTTATCAATGCTTTTAGATCATTGAGTCCCATTGTGGGTTCAAGGGCTCTAAATTGGGGGGGGGGGGGGGGGGGGGGGGGGGGGGGGGGGGGGGGGGGGGGGGGGGGGGTGTTGAGAAAAAATATGAATACACCCATTGCCCCCCCCAAATCAAGCAAGTTGTAAAAGAAAACTGAATAGGGATTTGCTGATATCTGATTTGAGCCAAAAGACAAAGATATTGCAGCCTAGCTGTACATTACATTACAAAGTAACAATTACTCTCTTAAGGATGAATAATGAATAAAGAGGAAGAAGAAAATCACAGAACCGATTCTTTGGCCACTTTCAAAGACTTAAAAATGTAACACACATGTAAAATTCTAGACAGCTGTATGGTACAGAAGCATACCAGTTAGAAGTTGCATATCATCATCATGTAGCAGGTCCTTTGCAGAAAGTCGCTCTCATCACAGTCTGCCTAAAAGAAACTCGGTCTCTCGCCAGTTCTCCCGCCTCATACTCAGGGAGTCACTTATATCCTGTGCCCATCTTCGTGTCGGTCGGCCCCTGCCCCTCCTTCCTGGTACCATGCCTTCTGCTATAATGTTTTCCAATCCGTCGTGGCGCTTAATATGACCAAAATATTTCAGCTTCCGAGAAATGATGCTGTTTTTTAGCCAAACTTCTTTGATGTTCAGATCTTTTGAGATGTCAATATTTCTCCTCTTCTTTGTCCAAGATATTCTGAGAATCTTTCTATAGCATTTCAGCTCAAAAGCCCCTATTCTCTTTCTTAAGGACATCCGTATGTAGCCACAGGGAAGATGCATGCTCTCAAAATTCTAATTTTTATCTCCTTGCTGGTGCTTAACCATAGACTTTTAAGGCTGTTCAATCTTTGCATTGCTATGGCCATCCTCCTTTTCATTTCTGTCGAACAGTCTCTATTGCTGTTTTTATAGAGCCTAGATATTCAAAGTTTGTGACATTTTCAGTTTCTTCATCATATATTGTTATTTTTGGGTGACAGCCAGTTTTATCTGTGGACATTATTTTCATTTTCTTTCTTCAAATTCAAGAACAGATTTTGATCTTCACTGTGCTTTTGGACAGACAATATTACATTTTCTATTCCTTTTACACTGTTCGAAAGGAGGACTGTGTCATCTGCGTAGCAGAGTTCCGCAATAGGGTTGCCACCAATTTTGAGCTGATCATAACTGTCACAAGTCTGGTCATTTTGGACATTTCTCATTACATTTTCTGTGTATATATTGAATAGGTATGGTGAGAGAATGCACCCCTGCCTCACCCCCTTTTGCACCTCGAACCAATCAGATGTTTCACCAGCTGCTCTGATGGCTGCTTGTTGTTCATGATAAAAATTTTCTATTAAATGCACTAAATGCGCTGGAAACCCTATACTTTTCATAATAGTCCACAGTTTGTGGTGTTGGACACAATCAAATGCCTTGCTGTAATCAATAAAACAAGCATGAAGATCTATGATGTATTCTCTGCATTTTTCAAAAATTATTCTCATATTAAAGATGTCATCCTTAGTTCCTCTACCCTGTCTGAAACCCGCTTGTGCTTCATCTAGCTCATATGGTAATTTCCTTTCAATCCTTTTCATGATAAGAAGTTGCATTTACCTCCACTAAATACACTTTAAAATAAGCTTCTTCTTTATCTAAATGGCATCTGCAAAGATAATACAGAATGAAACAGGGAAGTGATGACAGGGGATTTCCATTCAAGAATTCAGAGAAATGTCCTATAAAAATGCTCCGAACAGAAAAAAATAAAAACATTTATATATGATTTGATGAGGAATCAGAAAGTAGGAACTAAAACAAAAAGAAAAAAAATCTCAGGGAAAAACTTGAGCTGTGACTTGTCTCCTACTTAAAACATACAGCTATAATAAAAGTCTATAGTAAAGTAAAGTAAAAGTCTCTTTTCCATATCTTCAGGTGTATTGGGCATATAGGGCTAGAATAATCGTTTATAGACTAACTGGCAATCTGTGATGTGGTCAGCATCATGTCAGCAGCCTTTACTTCTTAGAACAGTACCTGGTACCCATTTAAGGCTGTGTCAACCTGGGTACCAATATCAAAAACAACAAAAAAAGTCCACCTCTGTAAGGACTCAACCCATGACCTTTTGATCCACATGCGCGCATCTAGCCGCTACACCACAGCGGTCCTGCATTCAGCTATAATGTAAATAAATAATGTCAAGGAGATCAAATAAACACATTTAAAGTATCAACTTGGTAGACAGAGCGCAGTGCTCTCTGATTCCACAAAACAAGTGACTTACACAATATTCTGTATTGAACAAACATTTACCATATTATGGAGCAAGAAATAAATGTTTCAAACTTGTACACCCAAGAGACAGTAATAGTCGCTATCCTGTTTCACAGTGAAATATAGAGCAGTAATGTAGAGAAATAAAAGGGGAAAAAAGCACATCAAATACCACCTTGGTGGACCCTGTAGAACAAGCTCCTTGTTCCCTCCAACAAAACTAAAATCCTATACAATGGTCAGTATACTGAACAAGCATTTACTATATTTGGCAATAAGAAATCAATGTTGAAAAGATATGGACACCATGGTAGCATAGTCGCTCGCCTGCTGGACTAAAGGTCAAGGGTTCAAATCCACAGAGATGGATTTTTTAAATTTCAAAACTGACCTTGACTCCTTAGTCAACCCAGTCTAAAAAAGGTACCAGATAATGTCCTGGAAAGTAGCAACTACCAGCATTTTGTTGACATCACCCAAAGACTGCCAACTGATCTAGCAGCATTTGCTGCTGAAGATGGGTACGGAGCGCTTATGGGAGTGTCCCGAGTGCTATGATGTTGATTCTTAATTCAACATTCAATGTAAAATAGAAACTCACCTCAAGCTGCCTCATATAGGAATATATGGGGTTCACATAAATGCTGACCAGCTGTGGGTTGTCTCTGTCCTCGGCATCTATGTCCTCTATCTGCTCACTTAAAGCTGACTGAGAAAAAATACCCATTCCATGATCACTAATGTCCATTGGAGCCACTTCATGGGTCAAGGTTCCAAACAATGCTGCATCATGTTCCATTAAACGAGACACGCTGGGTAATAAATTGTGGTCAGGCATCCATTCAACTTTGACAGGGGCCAAATCCTGTTTCAACAGGTTAAAAATAGATCAATTGTTAGGACACAAAATTTATATTTTATAATGATTATCCAATAATTAAGGAGCTATGTAGTGAGAGAGATGAAATAACATTATGAATAACTGAATGCATACCTTATGTTTATATGTTAAAAAATAAAACTATAATAACTTCTAAATAACTCATCAATAAATTTTTCCATTTTCTGTGAAATCATGTAATTAGATTACAATTAAATAATCCTATGGGTTCCAGTGCCCCATTTTGGGGAAAACAAAAACATACCCACTGCCTCCCCAACAAGCTAGTCGTAAGAGTCAACAATTGGGCATTTTCTCCAAAGTCAGAGTGCATCAGCCTGAGAGGCAAGAACCAACAGTCTGCATACAAATAAGTGAGATCTGTAAAACAGATGTGCATGCAACACTCATGTTCTGGGACAAGTCTAAAGTCCAGAGGTGGAGGAAAAACTAGAACTTTCCGCAGGAGTTTACAGCTGATGAATTGAAGAGAAGAAGAAGAAAGAAAAGAGATAATCCAACCTTAACTTTTTTTTTTCAAGGAACTTTAATAATGCGTCTTTACTTTAAATATTGCAAAAACTATAAAATGCTAATATTTGAGAATGAATTAGTTTCCTGTTTTTTTTTTCAATACTCAGTATGAAATAGGTATAAACTTCATCTGTCGAAGTTCATAGCCAATCACAGATATTTTTGCCTTGTTTAAGGGTGTACTAGGCATATACGGTAATATATTCATGCTCACACATGTGAATATACGTGTACAGATATAATGCTCTTTTACAGACCTGGTGGCAGAGGGGAGCAAATAGAAGAAACGATCATTAACATTAGCTAAACTGAATTCTTGGTAGTTTCCAAGAAAACTAAAATTCCAATTTGCTTTATAAATGGTAAAGACAAAACAATTAAAATAACAGGTCACATGCTATGCGCAGACTACATTCTGACATAAACAGAGACAAGAACTGACAAAAATACCGAAAATATGGTAAATAAAGAAGAAATAAATGCTGAAATTTTTAGAGCTGCAGTTAAAAAAACAATCGGATTAGAAAAATGTAACTTATTGAACAGTAAAGCAACCAAAAATACACTGAAAGGAGAAAACAAAACAAAAGGCAGAGAAAGATAGAAAGCTTAAACAGGTGGGTGAAATCAAGTTCCTCAAAATAAAAGATGATAGAGTGAAATGGTAGAGTTATAAAAGATCTATCTGCTTCAGACCAGATACTGGACAGAGAGAAAAATAGAGAGAAAGAGAGAGAAAGAGAGAGAGAGAGAGAGAGACCGACAAAGACAAGGGAGCAAAGGAAAGGACAGACAAACAGAGGGATGGAAAGGCAGAAAGGGAGGTAGACAGACAGGTGGGGGGTGGAAAGGTGGAAGACAGCAACATGCAGAGAGTTGGGATGCAGAGAAAGAGATAGACAGAGAGCAAGGGAAGGAGATCCGAGGGTGGGGGTGTAGCCAAAGCAGAGATGATGGAGACACTGAGAAGGGAGATATACAGAGGGTGGTATAGAGATGGTACAGAGACAAACTGAGAGGAAGGGAGAGACAGACAGACAGACAGGGAGGGAGAGAAGCAAACAGACAAAGATAGATACAGAGAAAGCTAGAAGTAGCAAAAAATATACAGAGTTAAAAAAGGCGCAAGGACACTGAGGAGTAAAGGGAAAAGTGGTGGTGGGGGGGGGGGGGGACAGAGAGTAAGTGAGGGAGGTGGATACAGAGAGGGAGTGAGGCAAATAGACAGGGACAAACAAGGAGGGAGACATTCAGGCAAACAGAAACAAGAGACAGAAAGGAAGAGAGAGAGACAGGGAAACAGAAAGAGATACAGAACACTGACAAAGACACAAAGAGATACAAAGAGGTAGGAAGAGGCAGACAGAAAGCAAGAGAAAGATAGAGAAAAAGAGGGGGAAAGAGACAGTGACAATGAAAGATGGAAGAGAGGTGGAAAGACACACACAGTCAGTAAAACTACCCTGATTATAAAGAGCTGCTAAAGGATCAAATGGTAGGACTGCTAAAAATAACACATCAAAGGAATAAAACTATTATCCCACACACACAAACTGGCTTCCTGCTGAAACAATTCCCCTATCGCATCTAATTCCCAAGAACAATACAATTTATCCTGAATCTGACAAATGTCTTTTACTTCTTTTTCTGATGTGGGTACACAAGGATTTGCACTATGGTTGGGAAGAGGTAAGGTGTTGCTTCATTGCAAAAGTTTGGCTGTTTTATTTCATACAGTGGTCATGAATGTCTAACAAATGGGTTTTACAGTCTTTCCACTTATGATTTGTTTCATTTTTTTTATATTTCAAGGTTACTTACACACTTTTAGGACTGTAGTCCCTCTATAAACTATCCCAGGTCTTTTGAAGACCTTGAAAGGGCAAGCTATCTTTCAAGAGAGTTTTCAAGTATCACTACGAGCCCTGATCTGTTTTTTAATAAAAATCTTACAACGCATAAAACCAAATTAACAAACATGTATATACTCACTGTTTCAGCCTTGAGAATTTTTGAATCTTGAAGCAGCTGTTTGTTGCCATGTTGGCTGTTTGTAGATATATCACAGACAGTGGACGGTACTCTAATGTTAGCATTGTGTACATGACTGAGAGTTCCATCAGCGGGTTGCAAGATTTCTTTCTTGATAGCCCCACCTTTTGAGGTGTCTATAGTTATGGCAGACACACGATTGCCTATCTCCCCAAGAGTCAGGCGCGAGACTCCATGACTTGGTTTCATTTTTCGTCCCAGATATCCATCTATGTTATTATCCATGCCAGCCAGTCTTGTATTCACACTCTGAGGAGGAAAACAATCAATTGTAAACAATAAATGGAAAAATACTATATCAGAATTAAATACAAGAACAATAATTTCTGTAACAACAGAGCAATTATGATCCTGTTATGTTGTTATAAATCACAAATGCTTGCAGTTTCTTCTTCCATTCAAGTTTATCCTGTGCAATTATTTTAATATCATGGAAGAAAACAACCCAGCACCTTTGGTCTCTCTCATCAATGTTTGTCTATGTTTTCTTATGGTAAATGTTTGTTTCTTCAAACGACCTCCATTTAAGTGCCTCTCTTGTGTTTCCTGATCACGTCTTAAGATGTGACGATGTGAACAATGTCCCTAATGTTTGTGTCATATATTTTGTCATGACTGCACACTAGTGAAACAATATTGGCTCTACTGGCAAATCCGGACGAAGAATAAACAGCCTTGGACGACTTAGTCAGAGTTCTCTCCCGTGGCCGCACTCCAAACAGTGATCGGAAAAGCCACAACGAAACAAAGAAGACAGTCACGTCGACATCAGGGCTGCCAATGCTTGGTTGTTTCCCCCAGATCTGGGTTTTTTTTTCGACGCTGCAGGACAATTCTGGGTGTTTTTTTGGGTGTGTTTTGTTTGTTGGTGTTTGCCGATTTGTATGCTTTAATGATCGATAAATTTGCGTGGTTAGGGGGTTAGGGTTAGGGAGTAGGATTAGGATTAGGGTTAGCGGTAGGGTTAGGTTTAGCGTTAGATTTGACAATTTTGACGCCGGAGTTCCCTATAATCGCGCACAGTCCCATACACACACACACAAACAATCGAGGGCCTCTGGATGCTGGTCAAACGCACAATTCGCCAACGATTGGGGGCACCAGCCGCACGCTATTGGCGTCATATTTGGCAGAGTTTCAGTGGCGCCACTCCCACAAACATCATATTGTCGGCCAGTATTTCGAAATCCTACGTCAAAATTTTCACATCTAACCCTAACCCTAACTTTAATCCAACAACCGCATGATGATGACTACACAACCATTCACAATGCCTCACGCAACCGTACGCAACCCTGCACGCAACCATATGATGATGCCACGATGCCTCACGCAACCGTACGTAGCCCTACACGCAACCGCAGGATGATAGATAAGTGTGTCGTTTGTTTCGTTTGTTTTCTGATCACTGTTTGGAGTGCGGCCAAGGGAGAGAACTCTGACTAAGTCGTCCAAGGCTTTTTATTCTTCGTCCGGATTTGCCAGTAGAGCCACAATATTTCCACCATGTTAATAACACAATGTTAGTAAGATTGCTTAGTTATTCATAACACAATTTCTATCATAATCACAATCTAAATCAAAGCAAAGCAAATGTGAAACAATATATATACATAAATTTAAAATAACAAATATATAATCTGGGAACTAAATTAACACTATATATATCCTAACTATAACCATGAGGGTTGAACAGGATATAAAAAAATGACTATTCCTAATGACGATACAAGCTGCCGTTCAAAAATTTCTAATTACTCGTATTTCTTTCACCTTTCATCTAATTCCACAAACATCTGTTCTCGAAGGCATATCAAAATACACTATACAGTATTAGATAATTACTGAGTATAGTTTAACTAATTACTTCATTTCCATGATACAAGTAATTATACGGCAATATTTCTACTGAACAAACCAGCACCCCATCAAGCTACCAGAGGCACTGAAAATTGGCAACGCTGACAAGCTTTTATTTATAACCACATATTACAAATCGTGTGTCAGTCAACACAGACAGAACTTGCACAGACTGGCAACATTCAGGATCGATTTCTTTTCTTCTACACAACACATGAATACACAAATCACACACACTTACAACAGCAAGCAAAATAATCCGATATTGTTTAATTATAGTAAATATCCTAAAACCAAATGCAATTATTTTGCAAACATACAAGCTGTTTGGATGTCATTGCGGCGAATTATTTGACATGGAAAATAAACAAAAATTCTGAAGGCAGCCACAAGCTACAAGCAAAGACTCGTCTGCGACAGCAAGACGTGAAACTGCGGGATTGTTCGAACGCCGGCGAGAGAATTTGATTGGATAATAGTACTTCCATAACAAAATATTATTGGCTGGGTTTCACTCCGGCGTTGCTAATGAAGCGCGTTTGCTCCGTTCCTATTCCAAACTGACGGGGAACGAGTTTCAACCCATTATCTATAGTACTCTGGGGTCCCTAAGTGGATTCTGGGGCCCCATTTTGAGAAAATGAATAGAACCATTGCTTTTTACCAAGCTTCAGTAAAAAGGGATTAATTATGGGTTTACTGAGATCGTATGTTGGAATGAAAAGCTCAGATCTCGCAGCCTAGCTGTAAACTGTAAAAAAAAAAAAAAAATTAGACAATTTCCTTTTAAAAAAAAAAAAAAAAGAAGAAGAAGAAGAATATATGGAAATTACTTATTTGGTTTTCAAGGTAACTGTTATTCCCTAACAAGAAATGTAAGCTTGCAACAATGGCCACGTTTGCGTTCTTGTCCAGACTTGTCGTCTTCTTTAGGTCATTTGTTTGGTCACCCGTTACCATGAGCTACCCTTTGTCTTGTTTGCACACATCTACCTAGTACCAGCATTTACTTCAGCCAGGGGTTTTACCAAGCTTTATTATCCAGCTTAGGTTATCAATGTCAGACTTGGACAGTAACAAAAGAACACGAGAGAAGACTAACCACATGTGAAATGAGATGTTTGAGAATGGCTGCGAATAAAACCAGAAGAGATCGAGTGAGAAACGATGTGATTACAAAAACTATTGGAACCATACCCATCGTTAAATTTATTGAGAAGCAAAGAATGAAATGGTTTGGTCACCTAATGAGAATGGAACCAACGATGCCAGCATCAAGAGCATACAACATGAAAATCGAAACACCAAGAGGCAGGGGAAGACCAAGAAGAAAATAGATTGAAGGAGTCGCGGACAACTTGAGACTTCAAAACATCACGGCATATGAAGCGACTGAGCGCACCCTGGCTCGGTTGCCGATCATCTGATAGACTGCGACGCCTAGCGGCACAAGCTGATTTTGACAAAAGAAGTATTATCCAGCTAGTATCTTTTGTCTAAGGGTCGTCTTAACAGCATTATGGGCCCCCTGGCAAACCAGTGTGTTGGAACCCCTACGTCAACCACTCACATGAATTAAATGTAAACGATCGATAATAAAAACATTATTATTATATTTTTATGTAATTATACTGGGAGTCGCCATGACGGAGCCGCTAGACGCTTACATGCGGATCGGAATGTCATGGATTCGAGTCCTGGCGGAGCCAGACTTGGCTCCCAGTTGGACCTAGCTTTGGCTTCCAGGTCGACCTAGCCTTGAATGGGTACGAGGTAACGTTCTGGGAAGTAAAGGCGGCCGGTGTGATGCTGACCCAATTTTGATTTGTCTATACAATATAGGTCTAGCCCTATATGCCTAATACGCCCGAATAGGTGAAAAGAGTTCTTTTACAATATTATTGTATTAACATATATTTATTTTATTGGTACTTCAATAAAACCGGTGTTGAAACATAAGCATAGGTTAGATGACACAGTGTGAAGTTACTACGAATGTTTTATTATAACAAGCATCTGCGGCATTCGTTTCACAGTAGTGCTTTATTTTCCACGCACATAAGAAAAACCATTTCAAGCCAAACTGCCAATCTACAACGTTATGCTACAAAGCACATTAAAAAAAAAAAAGTTTCTGTCTTGAAAATGAACATCTTCTTTACAGTTAGTTACCCTTGTATATAAGAACACCCCGTGTGCAATTTCAACATTCATGAAAAGAGATTTTAAATTGTCCAAAATTATATTTCTGTACAGTGCAGGGAGTCTCACAATTTTCATTAATGTTGAATGTGGAATTCGGAATCGACATCACAGCGCTCGGGGCACTCCCATAAGTGCTCCGTCCCCATCTTTAGCAGCAAGCGAAGAGTTATAATTCCGATGGCACAGTAACTGTTTGATGGTATATCCGTCTCGCCCTTTCACTGAGTGTTGAGCGTCGGCAAGATCCCCTAGTAACCTCTCGCAGCGCCGTTCTCCTCAAACCGTAATAATCTATCTGCGCCTCCGCACTGTTCACTCGTACCAAAGGGTTCTCACAATATCTAGCTTGTCATACGTCAATTCACCACCAAGTGGTGCACAGCCAGCCAGTCTATCTGCTTGCTAAATTGCTACCACACCGGCATGACCTGGAGAAAATATCCAAGGATGCTAACTGGCTGGGACCTCTGAAGTGATGCTTTGCCACTCTGCACGAAGCATGCATATCTCCACCTTTCTGAACGTGCTCAGTGAGTCTGTTACAATCACGGCATGTGTGTACAGCTGAATCTCAAGCCAAAGGAAGGCACCAGAGACTGCCTCCACCTTCATTCTTAAACTAGACGCTGTGATATCATATGCAAGGCTTTGGTGCACTAAGCGACGTCCATTCGCCTTTGCTATAAACCCCCATGCACTTCGTCTGCTCCTCGACACAGAGCCATCTGTATAGACAATCACATTACCCGGACGCGAATTGTGACGAATCATTTGTTGAGCTTCTAATTCTGCAGCACCAGCTGGCCAGTCCCTGCACTCACGACCTAAAGTGATTAGAACCCTACACAAGTCTGAAACTTGTTCGAGCACTCTGAACCACTCTTCTTCTCGTTCAAATGTATCAAGCCTGCACACATGTCCAATTGTGTCTTTAGCTTAAGCCATCCAAGACCTTCCTCGTTTCAGTCTGTGACCCTCAGCTCTACCCAGGGCTTCTTGCAGGAGGTGCTTCTTATATGCAGCTACTCTGAGATATGACTTTGCCTGCAGTACGGTGAGCCTGTCTACAATAGTAGGCAGTGCAAGTAGATTTTTATTTATGACAAGTCACTTTATATATACAGGTGTGCATGGGGCAGTTAGACTCGTGGGGTCCCCGAACAAGTACCAGCGGGCCCATGCGTTAAGACGGCCCTGCACCCGCCTCATTTATCTCTCTGGTTAATGTTCTCTATCCATTTGATGATACCAATGTTTGTCGGTCTGCCTAGATATTATCTTTCCATCGTCTTTTTGGTCTGCCTAGTAGTCCACAACCATTCTGCTTTCTTGTGTACAGTTTAAATATTTTGATCATGGCGTTACGAGACAGAAACTTTGATTTTAGCATATGTTACAGATCATAGCATATTTTGTTTCCAGATTTTATTCTAGACTGCATTTCTTCTCTTAGTATGTTCGAGTAATTGAAGTTCACACCCAAATACGTACATCTTTCCATCCGTTTGATTTTTATATTAACGATTTATATGTGACCGGAGTTCTTAATTTTTCCTTTCAGACTGTTCAATACACCATATTAAGAAAACAATTGTGCTACACTGAGCTTCAAGTGTTAAATATGGACAAAAGGAAAAAATAAGAATTGAAACCACAGAAATGAAATGATAACGACGAATCCTGAATGCAACAAGAAGAAACAGGCGTAGAAATGATGACATCAGAAAACAAGTGGGGTCGGAACCTGTGCTAAACTACATCAAAAGACAAGATTGCAAATGGCGTAGCCGTGTGTCAAGACTACCTACCACAGGTTATCCCACAGAGTGCCCTATCACTTAGGTACAATGAAAGCAGAACTAAAGTTTACCCACGCAAGTTATGGACGGATGCAATATCTGTGACCGTGAATACCAGAATCCAGGCAGCACTTACCAATGCTCGCATAAGACGCCTCTTCAAAACTGGACGACGAGAGGCGGAAAGGAATCAGAGATCAGAAAAAGACGTTATTCCACTGTTACCATTGTCGACGTTTAGCAAATGGTGATTCTGAGGTGAGAAATATAGCTTGATAATTTTAAAGGGGCAGAAAGGGGGTGGGGGTGAGAAGGCGTACCAATAACAATTATTATTGTATGCTGAATAGCAAATAAATATAACAATATATTTGAGATAATATGAAAGGTATGAACAAGCGCTTGCAAAACAGAACGTCTGCACATGCTTGGTGGGGAGGGGGAGGAGGGTGTTCTGTTCTCTTAAAATTGGGGGGGGGGGTGGGTGTCGTGAAATGATAGCCATTACGCATCGGTCTGTAAGGCTGATAACCTGTCTTACCTGTAATCTGCACAAAATTCAAACTTGGACTCGCCCAGAAATATATAGTCCCTTATATCTATATATATAGGCCTTTATTGGACAACATTATTATGTCTACCTTTTCTGGTTACTTTAACTAAACTCCACTTTTAAATGTATACATCTTCGATATATATTAAGGGAGTTATTTGAGGTTTCGTGGAAACCGATTTACTCCTTGCTCATGAATACTAGGGACTTCTTTTTGCACCAACGCCTGAAGTGTCTAAGTGACGCTATTCTCTCTTGCCGGCTCCTAGCGTCCAGACGTGTCAATCTATGCCTGTATCATTTCATTTTCTAAGGCGATCTGGAATGTCTCAGCTTTTACATATGCTTGGGTAAGTTAATTATAGTTTACGAGTACCTAAAATGATGTCTGTAAAGTAGTCACTGCTGTAGAGAGATCAGTATCGGCTGTGTGATCACACTTAGTTCGACCGTTCTTGATCGCTAGAGTAGCGGATTCGAACGTAGATCTTCCCCTGTACAGATTAAATAGCTTATGCCCTCAATAAACCACCCATACTGGTAAAACTTAATACCCTTACAAGTATGTACGTTTTAAACTAACTAGAGAAGTTGTGCATACCAAATGGGGACAGAATTGGGTCAGGACTTTGTTAATCAAAGTATGTGTGTGTTTGACCCAGATCAATGAGTGCTAGGGCGAGCGTTGGGAAATCTAGTGAATGCAGGTACTGACAGTAAATATTGGTGTCTGTGTGCAGAGGGGGGGGGGGAGAGTGATATATGTGTTAGAACACTTTAT